GAGTGCCAGTGGTATGAACAGAATCTCTTCCTATTTTTTAAAGTATTTGTAGCTAAGTTGGCATAGATGCATAAGGTTCTTATTTTACCTTATTTTAATGTAAGAAATGAGCCCATTTGAGTGGTTAACTGAGAGGTCACTGGTTCAAACCCATCTACTTCTCTACTGAAAAAGAATAAAGCAACTGCTCCCATAAACATTTTGTGTATGTTGGGTTTTGGAAGATTTTTTTTTGGTGCCGAAACCCTGGAACAAACAATCTCATAAGATTTACAGGCTTAGAAACCCAGAGCCTCTTGGGCCTTGTAGGGTAACTATGAGTCGTAATCTACTCAGCTAAAGTGGGTTTTGGGTTTAGGGCAAGAAAATGAGCCCTAGTGGCATCATAGTTGAAGTGTTCAACTACTAATTAAAAGGCCAGTATTTAAACCCACAGGCTGCCTTGAGGGGAACAATGTGACAGTCTCCTCTAGCAAATATTTACAGGCTTGTAAATCCTAATGAACAGTTACTGTAAATTGGAGTCAACTTGATGACAGTGTGTTTGTGGTTTATTTGGTTGGTTGGGGAGTGCAGAGAGCTTGTAGTGTTTTATTGATTTTACTTGTAGCAAGTGAAGGTGATTATGATGAAAAATTTTCTTTCAGTAAGGATTGGTTCATAATTTCAAAGTGAGGGCAAATTTATATAACATTAATGGATAAGTAGGAGTTGTCTGTAAGTCAGACATTTGGAACTCGAGAACTGCCTAAGAAGCGAAAATGTTGCTCTTATGCTCATGGTTAGTAGAAAAGAGAAATAAGTTAAAAACCGTTATCTTGCAAGATGTTTACTAAGGTGATAATTGTTAAAGGTGTTTTGAGGGTATAGAAAGGGAGTGCAAAAACTTAGCTAATTAAGCTAAACTGAAGGAAGCAATAGTTGATGTGTTTAGGATACACTTCTCTGAAAGAAAAATAATTGAAAGAAAAACTTTTAAAAAGTTGAAAGTTGAATTCAATTATTAATTAATTAAGAACATTTCTAACTTACACAAAAGTGAGAGTGTAGTATAATGGGCTCTTCCACATCTGTCACCCAGTTTCAACCATCATTACTTCATGGCCTATTTTTTCATGTTTGTGCCTACGCCCCACCCCTGTCTCACCTGCTGCTCACTGATTGCTTCCACCCCTAGTCACTTTGAAACAAATTCCAGCCATCTTACAGTTTTATCTGTACGTATTTCAGTGTGTGTGTGTGTGTGTTTATTTTTTTTTTTCAATCAAGCACTGTCGTATTGTTTTCTTTTTAAAACCTCTTATTATCTATCCAAATGGGTCCTGGATAGTGTAAGCAGGTTAGAGTTGCCCACTAACTTACAGATTGGCATTTTGAACGCAGCTGTACTGTGGAAGAAAGGCCTGATGATTTGCTTCCATAAGGATTATACCAGAGAAAACCCTTTCAGCACCTTCTGCTCTATAAAATATGGCTCTCCATGAGTTGGAACGGCCTCAATGGCAACAAGTTTGCTTTTTGGTGTTGGTGGTGGTCATTTAAATATATAAGACTAGTGGGAATGAATTATGGCCAGCTTGAAACATACTCAAGTTCAAGTCCATAGGGAAATCATAAATCAAGCAAATAGCCCACTGTGGTTGATTTTAATTAATCACAACCATTGGGTTTCTCAGCATGAAAATTTTCAAGTGGTGGAAACTGCCTGTCCTCCTTCCTTGAAGTACATGATGAATTTGAACTATTAACCTTTGAGTTAGCACTTAATACAATTACAACACTTAATACGCTATGCTAACCAACCTCCTCACTACAAAGAAATTTATAAATTAAAAAATTGTTTCTGTTGTGAGTTCTGTAACTTGACTTTTGGTTTAAGAAATGGAGTCATGCCTTTTAAAGAGAAAAATGTCCTCCTCACCTTCTAAACCTGGGACATTGATAGGTTGCTTTCTGTCCTACCAGTTATCCCTACCAGATAGCATTGGGATCATTTCTTACACTAGCCAGGAAAACACAATTTTTAATTTTCATTATCCTTCCATCTGAGGAAGAAATAAAGTTCTTGCCCAGTGGAGCGTACCATATTGGTATTGGAGAAACATGGGTAATACTACCTTGCTAAGTTTATCAAGTTGAATTACTTGGCAGCTGTTTACAAAATGTTTGGAAAACAAACGTCGGCTGTTTTGTTTTTTCCCTCCCCCCTTATTGCTGGGCCTAAACCTTACTACTGCAGAATGATTTTTCCTTACTCTTCCATGAGCAAGAATGTTATTGAATAAAAAGTCAAATTCCTATGAAAAATGCAGAGTGTTTATGTTTTTGTTATGATAGTGGAAATACCAGATTGTGGCAGAAGATGTCAAGTAGTTAAGGCTAAAAAATTCAAAAGTAATATCTGATGTTGTAAAAATTGTATAGGTTTCTTTTCTCTTCCCTTCACGTTTTTGAAGAACCCACCTTGTAAACATAGTGATAAAATGCCGGGAATATTAGGATTTTAAGGAAATAATAGGGCCTATTATTTAAACTACAATATAAAAGGCAATTATATTGATGAAGAGCTACACGGGCTTTGTGCTTGTGAATAAACTTGGCCTGTGTTCAGCTTCTATTTGTTCTTCTGGCATAAACACATATTGTGTGTGATTCCAGTTTAATGGGGACCCGTTTGTATGCCAAGCAGCTGCATTTTCGGGCCTATTGCGTGATTTCATAGCTTTCTGAAAATTGGTTCTATTCAGAACAAGAGATAGAAGGGAAGAAGGGGGGTAGTGGGGATGGGGGGGTGCAGCTTCAACACACAATCATTTCTTTTCAATTGGAGCCAGAAAGGTTGATGACAACATGACCATTGTGTTATAATGATAAGACCACTGAGGCATCTGTACCTCTCATCAAGGCTTTCACACAACAGCAGATACAATTTAATTCACTCTTCTGTCAGCAGTGCTGATACCATTATGCCGTCTGTCTCCACAGTTATAATCACTGTCCTCTGAGAAATGCAGTTGAAATGATCTTGAGCAGTCAAAGAAACTCTCAATTAAGGCTGCCACTTCCAATGTGTCAGATTGTGTCTTATGCACTTGGTACAATTTTCACTTCCAATCCTGTTTATTTACAATGTCTACCAGTAATTACGCTTAACGTGTCATTTAGTGAGGGGGGCCCCTGCCAAGCGATTGTTGGGTGCTGCTGTACCATTGAGTGGGAGGTTCTCCTAGTCAATGCCATCAGCAGCTTTTAGGCCCTGATGGGATGCAGTAGTAATGTTGATAATGCAAGTATCGTGCTCATCAAGTCATAATTAGATGCCACTCAAATGTGCCACTTGTAATAACAGTGTTGATTCATGTTTTTCTCGGTGACTGCAACTACTAATTAGTTAAGTGGTTTTTGGTTGGCCTGCATTTGCTGCGGATTATTATTACCCCTGAAAAAATGTCAAGGTTAGAGATGTTTCTGGCCATTTAGTGCTGCTTTATGAATTTGAATATTAACATAATAAGAACTTTGGACAGACTTAGGAAGTAATATATTTTTGTATTTAATTTGGAGAGAAATTTTTCCCCCCTGAGTTTAATCATAATTGCAGGTTAATTAAACTTAAATGAAGCAAAAGTAATCTCTCTTTGTGTTATGTGAGGCCAGTGCTTTTTGCCTAACTTTGCTGGTTTTCGCGTTTGGGTCTCCTTTAAATGTTTTTTTTTTCAAGCCAAACCAATGTCAGTAAGTATACATGTCTGCAGTGACTTTGGCAATTCCGAGCATTCTCTTTTTGCTGGAGATGTGGGTGGGAAGAATTGGCATTTTTCTTACTTGAACTTCAGAACACCATCCAAATTCTCATTTAACTTTGTACCTTTAAATCTCAATTGTTATAAACTCAATACTGAGACTCTGAAATGTGTTGTTTTTCAAGCATTAGTAAGATCTCCAGTAAGATTTGTGTTTCTTCTGGCTCTCCTGATAACTCTTCATATGCTTTCATCAACACAGAAATCTTGCTGTTATACTTTCTTGCCTTAGGTTTTTTAAAAAAATACTTGAACTCACTCTGGCATCAGTAGCGAGTCCTGCTGCAGTTCTTAGGTAGGGTGGAACGTGGCCAAGCAGGCTGTAAGACCACTATAAACCTTGTTTTTCTTTTATTTCTAATTAGAGAATTGTCCCCATTAGAGCCAGGTGTTATATCCTGCTAAGATTAGGAAATCAGGTTTGCCACTTTTCTTTCTTTTTGAAGCATTCTTTTGTTTAAGTGAGCAGATATGTCTATGGATGTGTATATTCCTACATAGATAAGAAGGGGCTCTTAGTGGCCCATTGCCTCCTGTGGTATATTGCAAACCAAAAGGTCATTGGTTTGAATCTCTCAGTTGCTTGGAGGGAGAAATCTGGGCAGTCTCTTTCCCAAAAGACTTACAGCCTCGCAAGCCCACTGGAAGGTGATTGTGAGCTGGAGGAGACTCGACTTCTGTGGGGGCTACACAGTCAGTAAAAACCAACATAAACTCCCTAATTGCCATTGCATTTATCCTGGCTCCTAGCAAAGTTGTAGGACAGAGCAGAACTCTGTTGAAAGATCCCACAACTGTAATCTTTACAGAAGCAGACTGTCACGTCCTTGTCCCACAAAGTGACTGGTGTGTTCAAACATCTGACCTTTCCGTCACCACCCACGTGGCCTAACCACCATGCCATCGTGTCTCCTTAAAACGCTTTAAAAATTTTCCAAGAGCACTTGTGTGCAATAGCAGTAAAGGTTCTTCCTTGTCGTCGTCATATTCTTTTTTTTTTTCTTTTTCCACTGAAACATTAGCTAAAATTGCAAATAGGGCAGCTTTGGGGAAAATGCTCTTTTTCTGTGACAATTAAAGTTCTGGTGAGCTAAAGAATTGGAGTATTCTTAATCATGGGACGTGATGCGTGGGCTTCTGGAATAGCTGACTAATCTCTGGTTGCTGAGCTTTTTCTCCCCCCTCTTTTATTCCCAGTCTCTCACATGGTTATAGAGGAAGTTAATTTTATGCAGAACCATCTTGAAATCGAGAAGACTTGCCGGGAGAGTGCTGAAGCTCTGGCCACAAAGGTGAGACAGTTGAAATGCAGGTTCTACCTGAGCTTTTCCACTTCCTCTTACTTCTCTAAAGCCTCCCTTCTCTCCTTTGTTGGTTTTCTGATTCTCTTACCCAATCGTTGATGCTCCCGATGAGGGAAGTGGTGTAAAGTCACAGAATCCTGGAATAGGATTAGGTAAATGCCTGCCTGAGTGCAAAGATTATTTTGATTATATAAAAAGAACATAGGTAGATGGGGGTTTCAGCATTTGTCCTTTTTGGGGTCTGGGCAAACAGTCTCAGGGGAGTCCGAAGGTGGACTTGCCGAGTGTCTCTGCAGTTGGTTTAAATGCAGAGCAAGTCTCAAATCAACCTGGTGTGACATCAGACAGTAATAAGTGTTTCGTGTTTGAATCAGATTTTTAAAAAGCGGCAGCATTCAGCCTTACATTTCAGGTGATTATTTGCAAAAGCAGAACAAGGGCATGCTAAAGCTGACCTCCAGTGTCTCCCTGATTGCCTCTAGCTGATGAGTTTACCAAGTGTGTAATTTTCTATATTCCAGCTCATCAGAAGTACATTATTATTAAAGAAGGTTGGGTTGGGTGGTTTTTTTTCTTTTCTTTTTTTAAAATAAAATCTCTGCTTATGCATTTTGGGTTGGGTAAAAGACATCTGAACCACTTTATCAGAAAATAGATTTAGAGCCATTTGCAACCAAATTTCATTAGCAATGCTGGTCAGTGGTGTTCCTTCTCGCATTTCCCCTTCTTCCAGGAGAAATTCTACTCCCAGATAAATAAATAAACAGATCTGTTCAGCTTGTGTACATTAGCTGCCTTTTCAGTGGAGGTCTCTGTTTAATTGTTTGCCTAACAATAGGACATTATAGAGTCCATCAGATACCCAGCCAGAACTTAATGAAGAAATAAGTGCATGGAACTTTCTCTTCTGGTTCTTCTCTGAACAGTTGTTGTTGTGTTGTTGAGCACGACTGATAGCGGCCCTGTGAACAAAAGGCTTGAAGCCTTTCTATAATTATCGTCATTTATCAAAATTCATAGAGTTTCCAGAGGCATGTTGTTTAGGAAGTGGATGCCACTCCTGCAAGGTCCTCTAAGCCATTCCGTTAAGAACAGTGGTCCAAGGGACTCTCGCTTTGTTTTCACTCTGAAGGACCTCTCGGAGCTTACCTGTTGATGGTATTGTGTGCATTCTCTCTTGTTCCCTTCATTTCCTCTTTGGGAACAAGTAGGAAGAACGCATCTGGAGCACAATAGCTGTTAGGGTCTCCCAGTGGCTGGGGAGGGACTCGGGCTGTGTTTTTTCTTGTTAACAAGTTTTACAGAGGAAGCACCAGAGTGGGAACCCTGCCTGCCTCTCGGGCTGGCTGACTTTGTGGAAATTGCAGTGGTTTGGGAGGCAGCTTTTATGAAGTATGTTCGGGAAGTTTCCTTTTCCTCTCTGGACATCTTCAGTCACAGAGTGGACGGAGGTAGACCAACCTGGGGAGTGGCTTCAGCTATCCTCTTTTCATGATGCCTTTCAGTCATTGGGCCATATCTGACCCCTTTTTAAGAACCATTTTTATTCTCCTTAACCTCCTTTTTAATTAAGTAATTCGGGGCAAGAGCGTTCTGGGCTATAATTGCTGTGTTCTGAATGCCAGGGCTGACTCAGGTTGACTTCTAAAGAATACTCTAGACCCACTCTTTCTAGGGTGTGGCCCGGGTATGTGGATGTTGAAGGAATGGTGGCTTTTACGTTCATCTGTGGTTACAAACCACAGAACTAAGGCCATTTCTACATTTAAATCTTTGCTATGGGATCCTCTAAATTACACAGTTTGTCACCTGTTTCTTAAAATATTAATTTGAAAATGGATGTAGAATTTCTTTTTAAGGGTTTAACATTGACTTGTAGAACCTAGACCTAGGCCAGGAGGCTGTTGTGCAAACAGAACAAGGGAACACAACATGGTTTAAAATTAAGAAGAGAGTGTGTCAGGGTTGCATTCTCTCTCCATACCTATTCAGTCTGTATGCTGAGCAAATTGTTCGAGAAGATTGACTCTTTGAAGAGGAATCTGAGGGAGACTCATCAGTAGCCTGCACTATACAGATGACACAACCTTGTTTCCTGAAAGTGAGGAGGACTTGAAGCACTTGTTGCAGAAAATAAAAAGAATACAGCCTTCAATAGAGATTGCATCTCAATGTCAGGAAAACAAAGATTACCACTGGACCGATAGGAAGCATCATGATGGATGGAGAAAAGATTGAAACTGTCAACTTCATCTTACTTGGATCCACAATTAACACTCTTGGTTCCAGAAGTCAGGAAATTAGGAGACATATTACACTGGCAAAGTCTGCAGTTAGGGACCTTTCCAAATTATTGAGGAGTAATGATGTCAGTTTGGGGACTAGGGTGTGTCTTATTGAGGCCTTAGTCTTTCCGATCACTTGCTATGTAACTGAGAGCTGGGCAGTGAATAAGAATGACAGAAGAATTGATTCCTTTGAGCTGTGGTGTTGGAGAAGAGCACTGAACATCCCATGGATGGTCAAAAGAACAAACAAATATGTCTTAGAGAGGGTGCAGCCATAGTGCTATTTGGAGGCAAGGATGATGAGGCTTCGCCTGCCATACTGTGGGTATGTTGCTGTTGTTATTGTTGTCATAGCGACCCTATGTACAACATCCCTAAACCCTGCTCTATCCTGTGCCAATCTCACTGCCTCTGACACACCCATCCCGATTACCCCAGTCACTGAATCAATCCACCTCATTGAGGGTCTTCCCTTCTGTGCTGTCCTTCCACTCTCCCAAGCATGATGTCCCTCTCCAAGGACCTCTCCTTCCTTACAACATGTCCAAAGTATGTCAGACGAAGCCTCAGAATCCTTGCCTCCAAGGAGCAGCCGGGTTTAACCCTCTCCAGGATGAATCTGTTTGTTTTCTTGGCAGTCCAGGGTACATTCAATACTCTTCTCCAGCACCACAGCTCACAGGGCATGTTGCTAGGAGAGGCTGTTTCTTGGAGAGGGATATGATCCTTGGGAAGGTGCAGGGTTGGTGAAGAAGAGCAAGACCGTCAGCCAGGTGGGTTGATACAGTGACTGCTGCAATGGTCTCTGTTGTGTCAGAAAGTGTGAGGGACAGCACAGGAGAGGAAGACCCTCAGTGAGATAGACTGATTCCGTCAGTGGGGTAATGTAGATAGGCGTGCCAGAGACAGTAAGATTAGCACAGGATAGAGCAGGGTTCAGATCTGTTTGTAGGGTCGCTGTGGGTTGTATTTGACTCAATGACACCTAACAACGACAACATGGCCTTGTAGGCCTTGAAACGCAAAGTAAACAAACATTCTCAATCAAAGAATGTAAACGTGCTCATTGGATGTGAGAGATACTCCAACTATGAATGGGAAATTTGGATGTCTCATTATAAGTCATTGTTGTTTGGTGCCGTCAAGTTGATTATGACTCACAGTAATCCTATGAACAAAAGATCTGAACCTAGTCCTGTCTTGTGCCATCCTCACATTTCCTGACACACGAGACCCATTGCAGCAGTCACCTTGTCAATCCACCTGGTTGAGGGTCTTAGTCTCCTTCCCCAACCCTCCCCTTTTCCCAACATCATGAAGTATGATTAGTAAATTATAATGTTGTTGTTGTTGTTATGTGCCGTCGAGTCGCTTGCAACTCATAGCGACCCTATGTACAACAGCCCTAAACCCTGCTCTATCCTGTGCTAATCTTACTGTCTCTGGCACGCCTATCTACATTACCCCACTGACGGAATCAGTCTTTCTCACTGAGGGTCTTCCTCTCCTGTGCTGTCCCTCCACCCTCCCAAGCATGACGTCCTTCTCCAAGAACTGGTACCTCCTTGCAACATGTCCAAATTATAATAGTGGGTCTTAATTTAGGTTGTATGTGTGGACATAGTCATTTTCATAGTAAGTCCCATTTAGTTTTTATAAATTCTTTTCTTTCTGAATATGTGCCATCCCCTTAATGACAAATGGAGTGTTTAATTCTTGTGATTCATTTTGACCTTACAGTTGAAAAAAACAAAGCAAAACACATAGGGATTTGTTGCCTCACTAAATGTATAAGTTAAACTAATAAATGTATTTAAGTCATATGGTTCAGAGCTATTTAACTTGCTTATTTTTTATCTTTAATTATTCATTAAAATACACCCACCATACCAACTCTCCTTTGTATTGGAATATAGTGGAAGGTTTGCTTTCTGAGGGGTGATTAAAAAAAAATTTGCCTTGTAACTAATTAAAAAAAATTCCAGATTACAAATAGCCTGCACTGACCTTTAATGCAGTGAAAAATAACGGCAGTGAAAGTGCTTAGCCAAAATTTGTGGATTCAGAGTTCTCAAAAATACTAAATTAGTAAGTAAATTAGACCTTATATATATGTATACACTGCCCTTTTCCCCCCTTTTAAAATATGGAAATGATGTTTAGAGAAGACATAAGAGAATTTCTGGCTGATTTTTCCTCTCAGGTTACTAACTTTGTTAATGAGAGTAGTTGTAATGTAAGCAGAGATCTTTGAGTAGAGCAGACTCTTAATGCACTAGTTTGAAAGTTTGTGTTTACCCAGAGGCCTATTGGCAGAAGGTTGTGACAATCTTAATTCCAAAGGAACTGGACAGAGAGGAAAATGTGCAATAATGAATGAATGGAAAGCCAAGTTTTCTATAAACTTTCATTAAAAGTCTCAATTAAAAAATACAAAAAATAAAAATAGAAGGGTCACTAGTAAAATGAGTACAAAAGTTCCAACGGGGAAGGAAGGAGAGGGCTGAGGATGAGGAGGGGGGAAAATAATCTCAAGGTCACAGTGTTTTGTAGGCAAAGCAAGAGGATAAAAGGAATTAGGAAAAATTCAGTGGGGACCTGAAAAGGTGGCATAATGGTAAGCAGGGAACAATAGTAATTAATTTTATAAAGCACAGATGAGGGATATGTGATTAGGTATTTTTTTTTTTTTTGTGATTAGGTATTATTGTCATAACAGGAGTCCAGAACGAAGGCTGCACAGTGGGGTGGACCTGGGGGGAGGGATTTTAAAACAATGAAAGAATTTTTCTTTTACTTTTCAAAGAGAAGAGTGTACTGGGTGGGGGGAGAGGGGTGGGCAGGGAGAAAAGTGCAACAACGAATGAATGGAAATCCAAAGTCTTTATAAATTTTCATTAAAATTAATAATAATAAAAAGGAAAATTAAAAAAAAAAACAACCCCACCAAAAACACAGTGTATGGGGATGATACAATGAAACATAGTGTGAATGGAGGAATTCGTGAAACACAATGTATAGAAATTAAATAATGTGTATGACTTTTGTATGTAAACAAGTATATATAAAAAAAGAAATCAGCTGTTGAAAATTCTGTGGACCACAGTTTTACTCTGACATGCATGAGCTGGGGTTGACCAGCTAGAAGCTGGTGGATTTGGGTACCTGGTTTGATAAAGATATTAAACTCTTTGAGGACAGAACTGTTAACTGCAACTATTTCTCACTTCTAAATTGTTTGGTTCTGTGACTTTTTTACTTACGGCAGTAGTGGAAAAAACTACTCTCCAGGTGTTTTGTTTGTTAGCAACTGACTCTGGAGGCGAGAGTGACCCCAGCTGGGATGGTCAAGGCTTGTGATGGTCATCTTGACTAGGCCATGATTCTCAGTGGGTTGGAAGTCCTGGAATGATGTCATCTGGCAGGTATGAAGTGATGTTTTCACCCTCACTATGTGGTCTGATGTAGTCATCCTCCATTTTCAGAAAATGCCTGTTTTTTGTGACGTGATCAGCTCTTTGGAACCGCATTTTAATAAGTGAGAAATAGGTTCGTTTGGTTATCGAGTATTATTATGATGGTTCCCTGTGAAAGAAGTTCAGCTTCAGTTGGTAAAATTAATAGTTTAACTTTTCCCCTTAACATATTTTGGAGTCAATAAGAATGCATATGGATAAATACTTCCATTGAAGCAAACTAGCTGATAAATCATCTCTGAAAAGAAATTGATAAAACACAAAAATAACTCTTCGTTATTACTAATAACTTGTTTTGTTGAAAACTATTGTTTTCAACTATGAATAATTATTAATAGTTAACTACTGTTAAAAATTATTATTAATAACTATTTTCTGGTTGAAACCAACTTATAGCTGACCCTTCAGTGGGTTTTTGGAGATTGCAAATTATATAGGAGGATATTACCCATCTTTCTCCTGCAGAGCAGCTGATGGATTTGAACCTCTTGCCTTTGGTTTGGCTTTATAACTCCTTACACCACTAAGCTGCCAGTTGTTGTGTATCGTCAAGTCAGAATTGACCCTCCAGTGAATTTCTAGAGGCAGTAAGTCAGAGGCACAAGAGATTGCCCATCTTTCTTCCGTGGAACAGTTGGTGGATTTGAACTGTGTACCTTTGCAGCAGCGCAGTTTCTTAATAAGCTAATCTTCCTGAATTCTTACTGTATGCCAGTCACTGTATTAAGTACTTTGCATGTGGCATCTCATTTGGTTCTCATATTTCCCTATGAATTGAGGCAGTTTTTTTCTTCTTTTAGTCTGGTTTGCTGATGAGATAACTAAGACACTAAAACCTTTTCTCTCTCTCCCCATTACGAAAGTCACACGTGTTAAGGCAGGTGTGACTCTGCAGAATTGGGAGGGTCACCTGTGACCCTTAGTCTTGATGTACAGCAGAAGCACCCGAGGAAGCTCTGACCAGGCCACCTGGGGTAGCACTCCGGACAGACTTGAATCTGTGATGGGGCTGAGCCCTGGGAAATGTTAAAGAGCACCGTTGAGATTCTGAGGTGCAGAGCTGAGAATTACTCGTTTCCATATTAAGAGACAAAATTAGAAATTGCCTTGAGCTTTTTCTACTTTGTTTTTGGTTTGTTATTTCCCCTATAACGTTCCCAGAAGATGCCACAGTTTGAGAGTTGACAAGCAAGGACTTTGTGCCTCTTGTGTTGTGCAGTGACACTCGTGGTTTCTGACAGAACCTACGACACTCCACTGGGCTTCTCCAGTTTAAGGAAGAGGGTTCAGAAGAACCATGGACCTTCTCTGTTGTCCTTTACTCTCCTCGTGGAATTCGAGGAACTAGATACTGGAACTTTGGGGTTGGAGACAGAGATAAACGTCGGATTCCCTGAAACGGCACCATAGGAAGCCAGGAAAAGTCCATCTAGGGATCCCAGCCACTTCCAGAAAGTTCTTCCCAATTCCCTAGAGAGGTCCAGGGAACTTCTTAAGTGCCAACCCAGGGGAGACAGTAAAAACTGGGGCCTGTGTAAGGTGGACACCTGTCAGAGAAGGAAAATGCTTTTCCCACTAAAATGAGAAATGTGGTGCCATTGCACCCTGCAAAGATGGAAAGCTTGTGCCACCCAGAAAATCCAGGTGGGCCTGTAGAGGTCTGGCTCCCGCTGATTCCAGTGTATTTCATTTTCTTATTATTGACGTGAAAATCAGATGGCCCCTGGTGAGTGGGCTGGGCTTTCCCTGTGGGAAACGCCAACAGGCGGTAGCCCTGAGCACTAAGGGGAAGACCAGTGGCAGAGCAGTACAGACCAAGCAGCTTATCTTGATGTGAGATTTATTTACAGGCGCAAAGGGTGATTTAGTTCCTAATGAGGTATGTTTTTATTTGTACTTAGTCAATTATTAATTCAGAGTTTATCTTGATGGCCTGCGGCCCTTCATAAAGGAATTTTATTTTCTACTATGGAAATCCCCCTGGTAAATAGCTTCATGTATTCAAATTAGAGAAGACTTCTAATTTTTCAGAAATGTTGTTAATGTGCCGTCAAGTTGCCTGCGACCCATAGTGACCCCCTGTACGCAGCAGCTCCAAACCCTGCCCTGTCCTGAGCCAGTCTTACTCTGGCACAAAACCCCCATTGCCCCAGTTACTGTATAATCCATCTCATTCGGAGTCTTTGGAAATGTTAGCAAAACCGTATTTTCCTTCTGTGTCCACAGAGCACTTTTGTCTTTGTGTGTGTTTCCTGTAAACATTTATACACACATTTGTGCACACGTGGGATCATCAGCTACACAAGAAGGTGATAATTGAGTTTCTCAAACTAAAGACCTACTCATTTCTACCCAAGGGACGATAAATTATTGAGTTAGGATTTCTTTCTTTCTTTCCTCTTATAAGTTGAAACTATCATTAGGATAAGAAGCCTTTGTGACACAGAGGTTAAGCCTCCGCAGCTAATGGAAAGGTTTGCAGTTCAAACCCTGCCCCTGCTTCATGTGAGAATGGTGACCGTCTTTTTCCTGTAGAGATTACAGCCAGCAAAGCCTGTGTAACAGTTTGACTCTGTCCCGTAGAGTCTCTATGAGTCAGAATTGATCCAACAGCAATAGCTGTACAATGTGATTTGTAAACCTTTATTCATATAAAATTTTTAAAAATAGTAAAATAAGCAAAATTACTGTTACATAAAAAACCCCAAAATAATAGCAGCTGTAGCTTTTTGTTTTGTTTTTTTAGAAATAATAGAAACACACCTTGACTTTCCTTTTACCATGTATTAGATAGAACTCTGTGCAGGTAGCAGGATAGTTGGACTAGAGGGATTGTTGTTGTTGGTGGTTTTTTTATTATTTTTTATTATTTTGTGTGTGTGTGTGTGTTCCGTCAAATCGGATTTAACTGGCATAGGAGAGTGGCCCTCCTTCTCCAGCAGAGCATCTGATGAATTTGAACTGCTTACCTCTGAGATTGCAGTGCAGCTTCTTGCCACTAGGCCACCAGAGCTCGCCTAGAGGGTGTTTTTTTTTTTGTTTTGTTTAGTCTGGTTTCTCTGTTCATATCCAATTCTGGTGCTTAGGACAGGGACCCATGCTGACGCCCAAGGGCAAGAAGCCCCACTTCCTGTGAGGAAGGGCGCAGACCTGACCCCGATGCCCAAGAAGGGGCAACCCTAGGCTTTTTGTTTTTCTTGCTTTTTATTCCTCCTTTTTGTTGTTGGTCTTGTGCTGGGTTTGTTTACAAAAGATGTTATTTTGTTTAACCAAACATTAAAAATTAAAACATAAAAAAAAAGCAGAAGATTGTTAGAGAGTGATAGCAGTCCAGGACAGGGCTGGAACCAGGGTCAGCCATTCCTCTGTTGCTTTCCGTGCCTCTCTCTGCGCTTCAACAGGGGTCTTCACTTTGATTGACTCCCTCCCTCTGGTCCTCAGTCTAGTGCTGGAGTGTAGTCACTGTCAGATTTTTTTCAATCAGAAATAGAAACTCATCTCACTGTTTGAGCCTCTGCATTCCTAGGGAAGAGATCTGATTGGTCAATTTTATTTCATGTGCCTCATCCCTGGACCTATTCTCTGTGGCCAGTGTTGTTGTTATGTGCTCTTGAGTTGCCTGCGATTCATAGCGACCTTATGTACAACAGCCTATCTCTATCCTGTCCCAGTCTGTTTCTGATGCACTTACCCACGTTATTAATGATTTGATTTTGTGGCCAATAGGATGGGATATATTGGATATTTGCATAAGACTTATGTGGAGTTCCTGTGTCCAGAATAGAGGATGCCATGTAAACAGACATTGACAAAGTGTTCACAGCACACCAGACAAGCCATTTGCTTGAAGTAAAATGTCTTCATTAAGACTGTTAATGATTATGAATGAATTGAAATTTGATTTCCTCTACACTTGGTATGCTTTCTCTTAATTTCTCCTGTATTTCTCACCAGTTTTTAACAAGCATTTCTCCATGCTGCTGGCTGTGCTCCAGGCATCAGGTCTTACTTAAAGCAATAAGTTTAATATTAAAAAGTGTAAACAGAACCTTGTTTAATGAATTTGCTAATTGTTGTTTCCTGCTGTGACTGTTGATGGGGAGGTAAGACAAAAACATGTTTAATTTGTCTGTTGTTTAGGAATCCAAGATGCTCATTTGACTGCTGGTAAAATCACTGCCTTTATATTTCATTTTAGCTAAATAAAGAAAATAAAACATTGAAGAGAATCAGCATGCTCTACATGGCCAAGCTGGGACCAGATGTGATAACAGAAGAGATAAACATCGACGATGACGATTCAGGTCCAGACACGGAGGGTGCCGGTGACACTTGTGTCTCGATACAGTGTCAGAAGCAAATCAAAGGTAGGAATCAGCTTAGTCATTGGGTGGGTTTTTCACTCCCATTAGGACTGTGTTTCTCAAACCTGGCTATACAGTGGAATCATGTGGAAACTTAAAAATATACCCATAGCTTACCCTGCTCCCCAAACACTCTTCTTTGGCCCAGGATGTAGCTTGGGCAAACCATGATGGTAAGACATAGCCAGTGACCTTTAATTCACTGACTTTTTTGTTAAGGTTAGACTGTAAACTAAAAATAGCTGTTTAGACTATAAACTTCCTAAGAAGAGACTATGTAAAAAAGATTTTTTATTTTTTTTTTATCAAATGAAAAAAAATCTGTTTTTCACAACCATATTTTGTGAACGTCTCTTGCTTTTCTAGTTCACTGTTGGAAGTTTGGGGACAATTCTGTCTCAATTTGCTTAGTTTGTGACCTCGAAGAATATGCCATCTAATTTAGTCAAGAAGCTATAGGCATATAGTGGTAAGAATCTGCACTGCAGTCCAGAAGGCACAAGGTTCAAATCCACCAGCTGCTCCACAGGAGAAGGATGGGCAATCTCCTCTGTGTAATTAACTGCCTCTGAAACCCGCTGGAGGGTCAGCTGTGGGTCAGTTGTGACTTGATGGTACACAACAACCAACAAGAAGTATGAAACAGTTGTGTTGGTGAGCAAGCATTGTTGTCAGGCAAGATCACAGGTGCCACTACTTAACGCTCATTTGTTTCCTTCATGACTGTCACCTGCTCGTTGCTGTCCAGTGGGAGCCCACTCAGAGCTGACCCTCCACTGGGTTTCCGAGAATGTAAATCACGTGCAAGGAGATCACCCATCTTTCTTTCTTGGAGCCACTGCGAGATACACCTTGTGTTTGTGATGTGTAAGATGAACAAAAGCAATTTTTAGCTCACTGACTTCTGGAGCCTTTTAACTTTGTGCACATGTCAAAAGCTAGCCTCTTTGGTGAGTAAAGTTTCCACTGGAAATAAAAAGAAAGGATGTACAGACACCATCATTATCCTCTATCCCCTTAAACCTATTACCAAAAAGTAGAGCCCAACTTACAGCAGCCCTTGTAGGACAGGGTAGAACTTCCCATCGGGTTTCCAAGGCTGAGACCTTCACAGAAGCTGTCAGCCACAACCTTCTCTTCAGGAACAGCTGATGGATTTGAACCCCCAAGCTTTTAGCTAGCAGCTGAGTGTTTAACACTGTGCCACTGAGGCTCCTTCCATTCTCTTAATTAACACAAAATAGAATTGCTGGGTGGAAAAGAGCATTTGGAAGGATTTTTCTTTTGCTCAGAATTCGCCCATCTGTGAAATCTCAAATAGCGTGGCCTCTTGTCTGTCCTCAGGGTTAGAGAGCCATTGGCGAAAGTAATTTAGAAATAAGTCTCCGAGAACTTCAAGCTGGGTTCATGTTAAAAATTGGATTTGATTTATAAATAACTACATAGCAGGTTTCTTACTGCTCCTGGAAAAAGGTAAAAAAAAAAATTAAAATCAGTTAAAAACCAAGTGGCAGAGCAGTAGGTCTGGCTGGGTCTGAACTGAAGTACTTTGCACTAATCCGTGTTTTTTTCTTTTTCTTTTTTTTTTTTTTACATTTGAATGGTAGAAGTAACTTTAATACCATAAGCTTTTATAGCTACAGTTGCTAATATTTTCATTCTAGTAACAAGTTTTTCATTAACTCCCAATAAAAAAATTATTAAATAAATTAAGAAACAAAGCACCCACAATTCTGGAGAGAAAATTACTAGCATTAACTCTTCTTTCAAATAGGTTATATTTTGAGTCAGCTCAAATAATGTTTAAGGGCTATAAATTGGCAGCAAGTCAGGAGTTTTATTTTTTTTTTTTAGTTTTATTTTTTTATCCTCTTCAAGTTAAAATCCCCAAATTATTGACTGCCCAATTATTTGTTTATATTGTATTGTGACAAGATCCTGTAGTCATTATGAAATAATGAGAAATTAGCACGAAGGTTTAAAGCCTAAGGCTTAAAGAAAAAAAAAAAAAAAAGAAATCTACTTCCAAAATGCCAGGTAGTTTTCTAGAATATGAGTTTGATTGAATATAAAGAAAATAAGATGTGGTACATTTAATATAGTGAGATCACTGATAGAAAATGCTGCTAACTGTGGGTCATGGCTGGGTAGCCCTGTTGAGACAGATCTTGGTGGACTTGGCATCTTCATTTCCTATTTAGTCTCGAATAACCTTGACCATCAGCTCTGTATGTTGTTGTTATTAGATGCTATTGAGTCCGCTATGACTCATAGCAATACTGTTAACAACTGACAACGAAACAGACTTCCATTTTAATTTTCTTTTTTACCAGATTGATTACTTCTTCTAAAGTGATTTGGATTGTACTTTCCCCCCACTTTTTCCTCTAAAACATGCAGAACTTCAAGATCAAATTGTATCTGTTCAGGAAGAAAAGAAGACATTGGCCATTGAACTGGAAAATCTCAAGAGCAAACTGGTAGAAGTGATTGAAGAAGTATGTATCTTGGGCCTGAAGGCAAGACCTTTGCTTTGGTGTTTTAAGCTGGTTGGAGACCAGTGGAGTTAAAGTCTTTACATTGGAAAGTATTGAATTCCTGATGTGCCAACCACGTGCCAGTTTTAACTGTCCCTTCACTCCCCTGCTTCAGATAGACAGGCGAGTACAGAGAATAAAATCATAAACATTTATGTTCCCGCCTCTAGACTAATAAATAAGACACTCAAAAACACTTGCGTGATCCCTGCTGTCTCCATTTTTTCATATGTGAGACATTCTGTGAGAATGTAGCCACTGTTTTAAGCCATACACTTGATTGCTGATGGTGAAGAAGGAAGTATTTTGCTTCTCCAGTGGATTCGTGGCCCAGTGGAAAGTCTATCCCTATACCTATCTACCTGTTGAAGGTAATGGTCCAGTGGGTTCCAGGGAGTATGTAGAGAATTTTTTTTCACTTTCCATTTTTGAGCTGTCTTCTAAGAGTGAGAACATAGCATTGTCCTTTTTTCCACGAGGCTGCAAGTTGAGGGTCTGTCTTCACCGTCTTGATCAAATGTGTGTGGACCCAGCTGACTCATGTGGTCATCTCTGGATTTTTACACAAAGCAACCGTGTGTATTGGATGATTTGAACACTATCCTGTTACCTATGCCAAGTGCAATATGAAAATAAGCTCTGTACCCGTGGCACATTTTGCCTTAAATAGCTACCTTTGAAGCATGAGGTAGAACTTTAATGGCAGGGTAAAACATTGCAAAGGCAATTTCTGCTTTAAATGATACCATGATGTTGAAAGTTGTACAGCAGTTGGAGCACACACATTGCCATATGTCCTATTTTACAATTCTGCGTATTGTTTTTTCTCTTCCATTGAATTCTTTCATCTTTAGGTAAATAAAGTCAAACAAGAAAAAGCTGTTTTGAATTCAGAAGTTCTTGAACAGAGAAAAGTCTTAGAAAAGTGCAATAGAGGTATGTGTTCGTGGTCTTTTTTTCCTCAAATCCATGTGCAGTTTGCTTTGTTTATGTATGTTTTGTGTTATCTTATGCCTGTGCTGATCTCCATTGAGTTTCCCAGGCTCATGGAAGGAGAGGCCCATCATATCCTGTGGAGCTGCTGGTGGATTCTCATTACACATCACACCACACCACACCACACCACGAAAGCACCTTTTATCTTGCAAAAATCTCTCCTCTAACATTGTTTTCCCAACATCTACACACTTAGTCTTCCTCATTCTTATTTGTTTGTCACTTATCTTGGAGCCTGGGGACATTTAAAAGAGCTCTCATTTGAGGAACTTGGGACATACACATTTTGGAGCTTCAAAACAGAAGAAATCCTGCTGCTGTCCTACCCATACTTTATGAACATGGTCATATTGACTATCTGCTCAGCAATTTTATGTTTGCTGTGTAGTTTAGGATAGCTCAGTCCAGAAGACCTTATGGCATTTACAGAAATACATGCAGTATGGTAGGATAAAATGATAAGTTCAAGGATCTTGAAAATGTGACAAAGGAAGAATTAAGTGTGTAGATTGATAAACAGATTTCTTTTTTTGCTCTGAAATCTTGTACACTGTGCCTGTGTGTCTGAAATCTAGCTTTGAGCTGCCTAGGGGCCACTGCAGTGAGGGATTCATGACCATTTATGTGCATTACACAAAAATACACTCAGTGGTCAGGAGAAGCCCTTGGTACTGGAATGAAGGAGAAATCTCTCCCATGGCTTGCCCAGAGAAAGCTGTTGTGTCTGCCGAAATGACCTTATCCTTGTTGCTGCAAAACAACATTCTCAAGGTCAGTTTCTTACACCAGCCAGTGTAGCCTAAGGGAGTGTGATGCCTCGGGGCTGTTCTGCAAAGACAGTTCTAAGGAAGAAGACTGAAGAATGGGTTGGGGTGAAGCAAAGCCCCAAATAGCTCCCTTCCTGATTGAACTCTGAAGCTGACAGGAAATCTTTAGATTCCAGGGCTTTCCATGGTGTTACAGGCGGCAGCTTTCATCCTTTACCTCTCTTAAGAATTGAGATTGTCTTTTCTCTAGTAAATGAAGGACTTGTGTTTAAGTGTAGGAGGTGCATGAGATTGTGACAGTTCTCAGCTCACCCTTCACTTCAGAAGGAGAAGGAGACTTTTTGGGATTTGTGCGTCAGGCTAGACATAGAGGGTCTTTTGAAGGATCCTCCCATGGGTCTTGTCTTCAGAGAGCCCTTCGCTGAGAATATGAGATCCTAGAGTTAAATGCATGAAGAAGGCCAACCTTGTTTGTTTCAGAATCAAATCAAAAAGGCCAGGTCATGTGAAATTCACATTTTGGTCAGAGTTTTTTCTAAAGCTGCCAGAGTGTCCATTTTCTTGCCCAGAGAGAGTCATAGTTGTCTTCGTTTTCTTTCTGAATTTTCTTTTTTAAATAGGGTTGGAAATCATGCAGCACTCAGGGACCTGTAATTCCCGCTGCAAACCACCACTTACTTTGCTTTGCTTGAGAAAGACTCTTCGTCTTGCATCTGAGGAGGCAGCCGATTTACCGCGCGCAGAGTCTGAAATTCTATGTCATTACCCGGCAAACCAGTCCTTAGTCAGTTAGGATTGAAGTGTGCTGGGGAACAGCGTGTGAGAGCAGCCATTAGGAGACGTTTTGAAAAGATTTTGTTGATATGACTCAGCTCAGGTTGAGGTACCTCTCAAGAAGCTGATGGAGAGGCCAGTGTGAGTCTAATTTCTAACACCGTCACTCCTCCTGGCCTTTCGACATCATTTTGTAACAGAATAGACCACGACATGACTGCAGTTGCAGTGAATCCATGTGGCTCTTACCCCACAGGACTGTCTCTTCTCTTTTTCCCCCCTTAATTGTGATTTGATTGAAAGCTTACAGAGCAAATTAGTTTTACACTCAGTCATTCAGACACATTTTGTTTTATAACGTTAACTGCAATACCTGACTCCTAACAGAACCCCTCTTGTTTCTTCCTGGTGCTTCTTGTCTCCATAATCCTCCTATCCTGCCCCTTTCTTGTTTTCTCAGCGTTATCGTAGGGCAAATGTTGCCCTTCTTGGGTGGTTCTTTTTTCTAAGGAGTAAGTTAGAATTGTCTGTAAGGTTTTCAGGGTGTGAGAGCAGCAGACTCCCTTACCTTTCTCCCTCAGAGAGGCTGGTGGGTTTGCATTGTCAACCTTTTGGTTAGAAGCTGGTTGTGACTGTATATTCTGCCACTTGTGTCTGACTCTTCATGTTTTACTCTGTGTTTCTTTGATTACTAATCAGGATGAGTTTTTTGACATATACCATTGGGATTGGGGCCTCTCTCTGAAATACATGCTTGTGTTTTTCTGTGAATTACCTGTTCATATTCTTCTGTGAAATATCTGTTTATAGTTTTATGGAATATTGAGGGAGAGGAGGAAACCAGCAAACAGACAACTAAAATAGACATGGACTCATTTTGTACCTTTTTTTTTCCAAATAAAAGCTTTTTTTCCTCCTGTATATTATGAATGTCTTTCCATCCATTAAATACATTCCTACTACATAATTAGGCACACTGTTCAAATCTACCAGCTTCTCTGCAGGAGAAAGTTGATGTAAACTGAAGTCCTATTTACTGCTTCTGAAAACCCACTGGAGGGTCACCTGTGGGTTGGTTCCACCTTGACGGCACACACCAGCCAACCACAACCATGTCATTAGAGTGGACGCTTGCTGTCCGTCGTACATAGCACATTTTACTGATACTCCAGTGTAAGACCATCTTTATACAAGAAATCCAGTGTCTGTAAGAAGACTGTATCTCAAGTGTTTCCAACAAGGACCCACCGACCATTCTTGTAACTAAATCGGTGTGTAGCCTGTGCTTTGTGGCCTCAGCCTGTACATCTGTCCATTCTCAGAAATGGGATTGTTGGGTCAAAAGGCAGCAATGATTTTAGAGTTCATGATTCATGTTGCCAGACTGGCCTCTGAAGGTTTTATCACTGGGTATTCCTACCAGCAGTGGCAGGAGGTTAAAGACGCTTCTGGACATCATTGTTCGTCCACGTCATCCGTCCACTCAGCACTTGGCTAACTTATGGTCCACTTGCTTTCCTTCTCTTAGTTTCCATGTTGGCAGTGGAAGAGTACGAGGAGATGCAGGGAAACCTGGAGCTGGAGAAAGACCTTCGGAAGAAAGCAGAGTCCTTTGCTCAGGAGGTGGGTTATCTTGCTAAGCTCTAGGTGTTCACTTTTATTTTTTAAAATATTTTATTGATATTTTAATGAAAGTTTACAAAAACTTGGATTTCCATTCATTCATTGTTGCACATTTCCCCCCTACCCTCCCTCCACTCACTTTTCTCTTTAAAAAGATTCTTTCATTATTGCACAGTTTCCTCTCTCTCCCCAACCCCCAGTCTTTTATTCCATACTGTTGTCATTCAGATAATACTCAATCATATATTTCTTTTAGACAGTTCTTTTCCTCATCTGTTTCAGTGCGTTGTTCATTATTTATCCCCTCTTGTCTTACTTTCTCCCCAACCCCCTTGTCAGTCTTGTTTTATAACAATGGCATTCTACAGTATTTGTCCTTTTGTGACAGAAATATTTCACTCAGCATAATGTCCTCCAGGGTCACCCATTTTGTAGAATATATTTTATGAGTTCCTTGTTTTTCAGTGCTGCATAGTATTCCACTGTGTGAATATACCACAGCTTCTATATCCATTCATTTGTTGATGGGCAGGTGTTCACTTTAAAGAAACCCGACTTTGCTGATGACACAGAAAACTATTTGTTCAAGCTGGATTAAGAATATCTCATTTTGCTTTCAGAATCAGCTAGCTGATTTAGGGTGAGGGTTGTAGGGTAGTTTCAAGTGGAACACACTTGGTATCGGAAGATCTGGGTTCAGATTTTCCCCTGTTGGTTACCAGTTGTATTACCTCAGAGCAGCCTCTTACCTGTGGGAGCCTTTCTTTTCCCATCTGTAAATGGGTGAGTATATCAGCTTAATTCATTGAGTTTTAGAATCAAATGGTGCCGTATTTAGAAACTATTCTACAAACTTCAGCGTATAGCATCAGATCCAGCATGCTGCATCGAGGATGGGAATTGTGTTTAGGAGTACTTGTAATTTTGTGAAAAGGTCACCTTCTATACAAATGTCAACGAGTTCCGCCTAGCCTCAAGAATCAGAGCCACATCTCCATATGCCATCTCGGGTGGCACTCTTGTGGTATCAGCGTCATCTCTTCAGCCACCATGCGGTGCCCTTCTTGTGTGAGTCGGTTCTTCCTCTAGCCGTGGAACGTTGCCACGCTGTGCACACATTATCTCTGTCTTTCACCGGTGTAATGATTTTCCTCTCATGTTCGAGATAAGCTTGATGCTTCTCAGGTTCCAGCTTACCTGTGTCGACATGCTGGCATTGAGTGTCCCATGGCTTTGGGACTGGTCTCCTGGGAAATGATGAGACACCAGGTGACTGAACTGGGACAGTTCAGGGTATCGAGTTATTCGCTTGAAATCTCCCTTCTGTAGCCCTGTTTCGCATCTGTGCATGCTTTGCATTGGAGAAAAGTAGCCGAGGAAATGAGAAACAGCCTTATGGCAGAAGTATCTGAGACACAGAAGGAAGACAAAGCATGGGGTTATGAGAAATGACATTTGAAAATCAGACTATGGTTTTGTGCAGCAGGAAACCTGTACTAGCAATGAACCCTGTAAAAGGTTTAATCCCAGCAGCTCTGATTTGAAATATTATGATTCATTTTATTCAGTGAGTTTAATGAAAGGTGAGGAAATATTGTTCTCCTATTACTTGGAAGAAAGAAATAAGATTTGAAGTGTGTCAGAGCCCTCTGGAAGCAGCAGCAGCGATAGAAATAATAGAACGAAAGAAATAGCGGGGAGGGAGTGGTGGAGATAATGTGAAGATGCCTTCACTGCAGAACAGAAAAGGTTGCCTGACTGCGACCTGAATGCCAGGGCTGTACTTGGAGAGACAGTTTGCGTTTTCCATCTGGTGTTTGTAGGATGATGTGAGAATACAAAACAGCTTGGAGAGAAACTTGAAGGCCACAGCAGTAGCAGCAGAGATGGGTGGAAGCAGCCAGATTCCACTGAGAATAGAAACGAAGATTTGCTCTGCTGCCGTCCAGCATGGCCACAAATTTTAGAGATTGCTTGAAGCGAGGAGACTGATGCTAGTGAGCCCAGAACGAGCAGGAGATAAAGGACAGAGGAAGAAGAAGCAACAACAGTGGCACTTAGGCAACTGAGAGCTTATTTGTTTGCAGTGATGTGTGATTATTTTCTGGTATCTTGATTTCAGCCATAACCAGGGCTGCATTCCTTGGTCTAGAAGCTCTGTGGCTGACCGTGTGGTATTTTAAATACTGAGGGTGTAGCTTCCAACACGCACACCATCACAAGCCAACAAACCGACGGCCGTGTTGGTATGAGCTCCTTCTAACTTGCAGGCATCTAACGATAACAGATTCAGTTGACACGGCAGTTGTTGTTGTTGTTATTTGTCATCAGGTTGACTGCAATTTGTAGCAACTTGTGATTCATAGAAAAGCTCTAAACCTTTGCCCTGGCCTGCGCCATCCTCGTGGCCTCTGGAACGGTCAGGCCCATTGTGGAAGTCACTGTCCAGTCTGTCTCATTGAGGGTCTTCGTCTGTTTCTCCCACCCCTGCCTTTCCCAGCATGGTATATCTCTTTAAGGACTGATCTTTCTGAAAAGATGCCCAAAGTTTTATTTCTATTTGACACGATTTAAATTTTCAATGAATTTCTAGTATATTTTTCTTGCAATCCAGAATGTTGTGGGTTTTTCCCTCAAGGTGTAATAGATACCTTGTTGAACATTTATTCCCAACAGAAATGTCAGATTATTAAATAGTTGATTCTCCTTTTAAAAGAATTCAGATGATGCTTGGGTGCTGTTTTAACAAGAAAGGATTATGCACAAATAATACAGTATCTTCTTGTTTATCTTTTTCTCTGGGAAGATTTATAGTTTTATTTTCGATTCTGAATGCACATGGAAGTTATAAGGCAGAGGAGTAAATACTTGTGTCTTGGAGGAAGCATACCCAGCGCTCTCCTCAGAAGGAAGGAGGGTGAGATTGTCTCACATCCTCCAGGGATGGTATTAGGAGGGCTCAGTCCCTGGAGATCATGCTTGGAACAGTAGACTCCCTAAAGACGAGGAAGACCCCCATTGACATGGATCTACCAGTGGCCCGAGGCGTAACAGCACTTGAGAGGATGCCAGAGGATCGAGAAGTGTTTCATTGGACCACTGTGAGTTGGAACCAACACAGCAACTCCTAATAGAAGCATGAGACGGTGCTATTTATTTGTCCCTAAGAGACTGAGATTGTTGACAACTTCAGTTTGCTTGGCTGTACAGCCACCACTCTTGGCACCAGCAGCCAGGAAATTAAAACACGTGTTGCAATGGCAAAGTCTGCTGGCAGAGACCTCTCCAAAGTGCTGACGAGCAATGATGTCAGTCTGGAGACTAAGGTGTGCCTGATACAGAACATGATCTTTACAATTGCTGTGCATCAGAGAGCTGGAGAGTGACTAAGGATGATAGAAGGAGAGTTAAGGAACTTTTGAGCTGTGGTGCTGGAGAAGAGTATTGAATATACCATGGACTGCTAGGAGAACAAACAAGTTCAGCCTGGAGAGGGTGAAGCCAGGCTGCTCCTTGGAGGCAAAGATTCTGAAGCTTCATCTGACATACCTTGGACATGTTGCAAGGAGGGACCAGTCCTTAGAGAGGGCCGTCATGCTTGGGAGGGTGGAGGGACAGCACAGGAGAGGAAGACCCTCGATGACACGCATTGATTCTGTCACTAGGGTAATGGGGAGAGGCATGTCGGAGACAATGAGATTGGCAAGGGATAGAGCAGGGTTTAGGGCTGTTGTACATAGGGTCACTATGAGTCACAAAGGACTCAATGGCACATAACAGTAACAATAACATTGTGAAGCTCTGGTGGCTTAAATGGTGAGAAGCTGTGCTATAATCTTGAAGGCATGGGATTTAAGTCCACTAACTGCTCTTTGGGAGAAAGATGGATGATTGATTAATTGCCTCTGGAAACTCGTTGGAGGGTCAGCTGTAGGTCGATTCTGAGTCAGTGGTACATAACAGGAACACAGCAACGTGCTGAGGCCTCCATCCTTGTTCATTTTGAGACACACACACACACACACACACACACACACATTCTCTCTGTCCCTGCTTGCATATGCACGTTTGATGGTATACCCACACCATCTCTTTTTATTGCTCGTTCTCATGGAGAGAGTTGGGCAGACAGAATATAAATTTCACCCAACATGGTGGTGAGCATCTGAAAATGTGATTTTTGTACTATAAAAAGGCCTAATTTCAGAGTTTGTAAAACATTTCACACTTGGATTATCCTTGGGCCAGCTTGTGTAGCCTTAAAGAAGTAACAGATGAATAGGAAATAATGTTTTCAAGCATATAAAGTTGTAAAGATTAAATGAAAATGTAAGTAGCTTGATAAAGAACTCAGTAAATATTTGTATTTCCCTTTACCTTTAAGCTGTTAACTGCATTCACCACTGAGCTGGTTTAAACACAATATTAAGTCTAGTAAGTAATGAAAACTACTAGCCAGATGGTTAAAACATGTGAGTCACACAGATCTGGGTTTAAATCCTGGGTTTGTCACTCTATCACTGGGAAAGTTGCTAGACTCTACTGAGCTTCAGTTGCTTTATCAGTAAAATAGGGCCGATTATGTGATCTTCTTATGGGGCTGTTCCGATAATTAGCTGAATAATGAATGTAAAGTGGTTACAACAGTACAACAACAGAGAACTGCCAGAATTTCAAGCTGGATACAGAAGAGGACATGGAACAAAGAGTATCATTGTGGGTGTCAGATGGCTCTTGACTGGTGGTACAGAATACCAGAAAGATGTTTACTTGCGTTTTATTGACAATGCAAAGGCATTCAGCTATGTAGATCCTAACAGATTAGGAATCATGTGAAGAACGGGAATTCTGGAACACCTCATTGTGTTCATGCAGGCCCTAGCATGGAAAGCAGACGCAGTTGTACAAAGAGAACAAGAGATGTATGAATTCTTTAAAATCAAGAAAGATGTCTATCAGGATTGAATCCCTCCCTTCACCAAATTTCCACAGTCTGTATGCCAAGCAAATAATCTGAGAAGCTAGATTAAATGAAGAAGAACGTGGCATCAGCGTGGAGGAAGACTCCTCAACAGCCTGCATTAAGCAGGTGACACAGCCTTGATTGCTGAAAGTGTAGAGGACTTGTGACATTACAGATGAAGATCACAGGCTACAGCCGTCGGCATGGATTAAACCTCAACAGAAAATAAACAGAGATCCTTGTGACTGAATCGGTAAGTAGTATCAAGATCAATGAGAGGCAAGAAGCTGCACTGCAATCCCAGAGGTTTGTGGTTCAAATCCACCAGATGCTCTGCTGGAGAAGGAGGGACAATCTCCTCCTGTACCAGTCAGATCCGATTTGATGGTGCGCACGTGCGCGCACACTCGCGCGCGCACACACACACATCAGTGGAGAAAAAGATTGAAGTTGTAGTTAGTCTTACTTTGCTCCACAATTATCACTCATGGAAGCAGCAGTGAATAACTTAAGAGATGTATTTTAATGGGCAAATCTGCTACAAAGGACCTCTTCAAAGTGCTAACGTGGAAGGATGTCATTTTGAGGACTAAGGTGCACCTGGCCTGTGCCATGATATTTTTAATCATCTCATAATACACGGGGCTGGAATGTAGTTTAGAAGTAGTCTACAGCAGCCAATTGGACTCTACAGAGGCTTGTTTGCTGGTTCTGATGAGGGTTAGGGTGGAATGTTGACTCATCTATGATTCAATGGCACTTAAGAACAACAACATAGAGAGAGAGCTCTGCTGGCCTAGTGGATAGAAAGTTCTGCTACCAGGCCAAAGGTGGGTGATTTTAATCTGTGGCACTCAGGCCTGGTTTGAATTGTTTTTGATTAAACATTCTTTTTTTAAAAAACAAAACAAAACAAGCACATTCTTTTAAGTGGTATAACACTTGTCTGTCCATTTGCTGTACAGAAGTAACTCGTGGCTGCTGTGATGCTTAACACTGTGACACTGATGTGTCAAATGTGATAATGGTTACCCATGGTGGACAGTGTTGGGTGGAGCTCCCTGATTAAAACAAACTTGGAAGCCGTAGTGGCATCTATTTCCGAAATAGCTTGCCTTTGGAAACTGTGAATGTGGAGAAATGACGCGGAGAAATGGTGCAAGTTATACAAGTGTTAAGGTCTTTTGTTCATAGGGTCACTGTGAGTCATCTACGAATCAATGACACTTAACAACAACATAATACACATGAAAGTTGGACAATGAATAAAGGGAATAAAAGGAATGTCTTTCAATCATGATATTGGGGAAGAATATTGAATCTACTGCGGACTGCCAAAATAATAAGCAAATCTATTTTGGGAGAGGGAGCTCTGGCAGCCAATTGATAAGAAGCTGTACTATTAGCCCGAAGGCAAATGGTTTGAATCCACCAGCTGCTCTATGAAGAAGATAGACTGTCTACTCCTGTGTGTTTTACCGCCTCCGGAAACTCACTGAGGGTCAGCTGTGAGTTGGTTCAGCTCGATGTACACAACAACAACAACATCTTAGAAGTGTGACCACATTGCTCCTAGGAGGGCGCGTGGATAGACTTTGACTCACATACTAGAGCGTGCTGTCAGGAGAGACCAGTCACTAGAGAAGGACGTGATGCTTGGTGAAGTAGAGGACCAGTGACAAAGAGAAACCCCGTGGATGAAGCTAGATCGACAGAGTGGCTGAAGCTGTGGGCTCAAACACAGCGGTAATTGGGAGGAAGACAAAAGCCTGGGCCATAGTGGGTTCTGTTGCTGTGAATTGGACTCAACTTGATAGCGCCTAATCAAGCAGTTAGTAATGAACTTTAAAGCAGTCATAAATACTAAAAGCTAAAGTAGTGTTGTTGCTGTGTGCCATCGAGTGGTATTTCAGAGGCAGCTGATCACATAAAGAGGAGAGTGCCTGACTTTTTCCAGCAGAGCAGCTGGTGGATTTGAACCACATGCCTTCAGCATTGCAGCACAGCTTCTTACCACTAGGCCACCAAGAGCTCCCCGAGAACAAAAACCTTGACATACAGGCTAAATTTATTGTTCGAGGTTTTGGTAAAGGAGCTACAGATTATACGTAAATGATAAACTATAGCATATACTACTTTTAAAAGCTTGGAAAGGTGGAGAGTGCCGATGTAAGAAAGGAAGACCCTCAACTAAATAGATTGACACAATGACTAACAATAGGCTCAAGGATGGAAGACATAGTGAGGACGGGACAGCATAGGGGAGGGTTCGTAACCTTTGTTCAGAGCGTCACTGTGAGTCAGAGCCAACTCTAAACCTCAGTCCCACAGAAATTCTTAGACTATGCAGTTCGTCAAATGCCTGTGCCCTTTCATAAAAATCTTCCCGGGCCTTTCTGTGTGTGATGGTTTAGTTGCTGCTTCCTATAATTACCTTTTTTAAAAAAAAAAAATTAATGAAAGTTTACAGAGACTTAAGGTTTCCAGTCATTCATTGTTGCGCTTTTCTCCCTGCCCCCTCCCCAAATTCACTCTTCTTCTTGAAAAGTAAAAGAAAAATGATTTTTTATTTTTATGCAGTCCCTTCCCCCAGGTTCACTCCACTATGCAGCTTTCATTCTGGACTCCTGTCATGACAAGACTACCCAATCATATATCCATTTTAAACAGTTCTCTCCTTCATCTTTTTCAATGTGGTATACAGCATTCCTCCCCTCCTTTTCTGTCTTCTCTCAACCCTGTTTTACAACAGTGGCTCTATGCAATATTTGTCCTTTTGTGACTGAGATATTTCATTCAGTATAACGTCCTCCAGGGTCATCCATTTTGCATAATATTGCATGAGTTCCTTTTCAGTGCTGCATAGTATCCCATTGTGTGAATATACCAGCGTTTCTCTAGCCATTTATTTGTTGATGGGCACTTGAGTTGTTTCCAGCTCTTTGCTATTGTGAACAAAGCTGCAATAAACATGGGTGTGCGTATATCTGCTTGGGTGGCAGTTTCTGGTTTCTTTAGGGTAAATTCCCAGTAGTGGAATTGCTGGGTCAAAGGGTGTTTCTATTTGCAACTTTTTGAGAAAGTGCAATACATCTTTCCATAGTGGTTGCACCATTTTATATTCCCACCAACACTGAATAAAGGTTCCAGTTTCTCCACAACTTTGCCAGCATTTGATGTTTGCTGTTCTGTTACATTTTGTTACTCTTACTGGGCTAAGATGAGATCTCATCGTTGTTTTCTATAATCACCTTGTACAGATGCTCATTGAACAGAAGAAGTTGAAGAGACAGAGCCAGCTTCTGCTGCAGAGCTCAGCCCCTGACCAGCAGCTTCTGAAGGCTCTCGAGGAAAATGCCAGACTCACCCAGCTCCTTGAAGAAGAGAGAATGAAGCATCAACAAAAGGTACTGCCATCTGGTCTTCTAGAGTCATGAGATATATATTCCAGTCCTGTCATTTATAATTGTATAGTCCCATGTTTTCCCCTAGGTACTAATGCCATTAAGAAAAAGTCTAACAAAGGAACCTAATTTAATGGTCAACTAAGCTTTATTAGACTTTATAAAGTCCTTAAACTTTGCAAAGAATCAGAATAGGAGGGAGATATAAGCCAAAAAAGAGGTTGAGCAATGCCAGGACTAGACGCTTATGAGCTGACTGTGTTTTTTGGGGAGCCACGTATACTTGGTTTTGTTAGGAACCATTGAGTCAGTTCTGACACCAAGCAGCCCTTTGTATAAGGTAAGGAAATCTTGCCCAGTCCTACTCCATATTCACAATCTTGTTGTGTTTAAGCCCATTGCTGTTGTCAGCACGTTAGTCTGTTTTTTGGGGTGTTCTTTTTTATCACTGACCTTCCTTTTTCCAAGCACAGTTTCCTTTTCCAGGGACCAGGCCCTCTTGACAAAAGTATATGAGACCTTGCCACCATCCTTTCTTCTAAGGGGCATTCTGGCTGTGTATACTTGTTAGGTGTTAGACCAGGAGGGTGTATTTGTCTCACAAAGCTTGTCGGAGGGCATAGATTGTATTCAAAGAGGAAAGAAAGGAAAAGTCTATGATAATAGTAATTGTTTGCTTGGAAGAATTTCTGATTTTGTACCCTTGTGCAAATGTCTGTGTTTAAAGACTTTCTAAGTGGGTATTTCAGTTTGGAGGAGTGGAGCTGCTCCAGCCGACAGCCCACCTCCGTGTGCCCAGCGGCAAAGGTAGTCGCTATGGTAGGTGGGGAAGGAGGAGAGGTGAAGAGGTGGAACAAAGACTTGAAATTAAAGAAACCACTTCAGGAAAATTACATCAATATTTATGCCACTTACCACCAAGTACCTAGCTTGTGAAGGCTGTTTGTTATCACCTATCAAAGTTCCTCTCAGGCACACTCTTGGCATTTAATCTTTGGACGTTCTGATGTTTGTTTACAGAGTTGATGGGCATTTAGAGTTGATTTTTTTTCTCTCTCAATAAGAAATGCTGGTAGATGTGTAGAGTACCTTTGAGTAGATAGTAAGAGACTGGGTACAATGTTCACCCCTGGAACAGAAGAACACTAAGAATTTAGCATTAAGATAAGAGAGAAAAGAAAAACTTGGTCTTTGCTTGGTTTGTGTTGAATTTACCTAACTCATTTAGTAACTTGCACATACCTGTAATCTACTGAGTGAACCCAAAGATATAGGAGTCATTAATTGTGTATATACCTTGTTGGAACCTCGGCAGAGGAAATGAAGATGGTGTAAAAGTGATGAAAGAAATTACAGCATTCACAACCTCAAAAACTGTTACAGCCTATAGCATATGATATCATTATTCTAGATTATCTTTCATTTGTGTAACTTACAATATTTGCCTGTCTTGTCAATTCCCTGGTATGTTCAACAGTCTTTCAAACATAGATATGCTCTGTGTTTCTCTTCGGATTTAAACAATAGCCTATGTTCATTGTAAAAAAAAAGTTTAGAAAATACAGATAAACTTAAAGACGACTGCCTAAGAATCCTGTATTTTGATTATTCCCAAACTATGTATGCCATGAACACATATGTGTCTTTCTCTGTCTATAATGCATATAAATATGTGTTTACTTTGAGAGAAAAACAGAAATGATGCTAAGCATACTATTCTATTATCTTATTTTAAGTTGATAAAATATCAACTATAATCTTATTTTAAGTTGATAAAATATGTTCCCATACTGGTGTATAATGATCTATATGAATTAAAATGGTTCTATAGTAACTATTTTATTTTTTAATGAACATAATTCATTACATCAATAACACTTACATTGAGCCAGATATCTGGTAATTCTTTTAAGTATCATCTTTCTCCCAGAATTGGCATTTTTTAAAAAAATGGGTTATTGCCTTGTTGCTGTGAAGTGCAGAACGAAAGAGAAACATTCCTTCCTCTTTCTCACAAAGAAAAAAGTACCACCCATTAAAAAAAGCTTGTTCGGAACTCACAGGTCAAAGAATTAGAAGAACAACTGGAAAATGACACTCTCCACAAGGAGATCCACAACCTCAAACAGCAGCTGGAACTTCTAGAAGAAGAGAAGAAGGAACTGGAGCTCAAGTACCAGAATTCTGAGGAGAAATCCAGAAATCTAAAACATTCAGGTAGCGCACTGATCCAGTTACAACGTCATTATTATTAAAAATAAAATGTGGATTTTTCACATCTGATTCAAAGCCTGATAAATAGTAAGTCCAGGAAATGTTTGGGTGTTATTGAAAAATACCAAGATTTATGTTTAAATGGCTTATTTTTAATTCTATTTCTTTCAGTACAGTATTGTTGTTATTTACTGTCCCAATTGGAACGGGACTGATTCCCAGCTGACCTTCCAGTGGGTTTTCAGAAGGAAAAGGGAGGAAACTGCTCATTCTTCTCCGCTGTAGCGACTGGTAGATTTGAACTGTGTGCCTTGGGGTTGACAGTGCAATTTCTTACCACTAAGCCACCAGGAACTCCCTAGTTTAGTAGAAGAGTCACTAAATAAAATGATTCACAAATATTTAGACTGTTTTTAGGACTTAGGTCCTTTGTTAACATCACCTGTAGAATGAGGAGACAGAAACCATTAACATGGGAATATAAAAACTTCAACATTTCCCATTCCTTAGAAAGCAGTGCTCAGAAAAAGCTTTAGTTCATTCACTTTAGGGTGCATTTAAAAAAAAAAAAGAATTAAACTTTTTAAGCTGTCTTCATCTTTGGGGTCTAATTACACATGTGAAATAATACTTTCAATATCACACCTAACAATAAAACGGGCAACAATATGTATATTAAATGGAGAAACTTTTAAAGCACCAGGGAATGCTTAACAGATTTATTCATTCAGTTGTAGAAAGCTTAACAGGAATCTGTGAGTTGGATTAACACACAGCATAAGTAATGAGTTTCTGTTGGAAGTGGATAATTTAAGGAGGCAGGCCTTTTCCTTTATAACAGCTTCCATATTCACTTCAGGTGTGTGTCATTCATTTTATCCTAGAATTTTGAAACCCATGCAGAAGAGCTATGTAGGATTTTTTCACCTTTTAATGATATTCAGTGCTTTTGACTGCACAATGAAGATGGATTCGAATTTATTGTAAAAAGAACTGATTTCAAATCAAGACAGAGTCCATTATTTTGAATAGTGAAAAACAGTGAATATTAGGGCATCCTGAATGCAAAGCCATCTTTATTATACAAAGATGGGACAGACAATAAAGGTGTTTGAGACTCAATTTTTCAGCATATTTATTTATTACCTGCTGTCCGACCTGGTAGTGTTAATGTGTCAGGCTGCTCACCCTAAGGTCAGTGGTTCAGATCAACCGCCTGCACTGTGGGGAACAGGTGGATAGTTTCCTCCCATAAAGATTTACAGCTTTGGAAACCCGAGGGTCACTAGGCTTCACAATTGATGATTTAATGGCAGTGGGTTTGATTTTTTGAGCATGTCTTACCAGGAACCCTGGGGACCCAGCACATTAAGTGTTAGGCTGCTGAAACAGAAGGCAGACAGTTTCAGCCTATCAGCCACCTTGAGGGAGAGAGAGAAAACGTTCTCCTCCCATAAAATGCACAACCTTGGAACCTGACCGAGGGTCACCATGAGTGGTAATAGACTCCATGGCCGTTGGTTTGCTTTGTTCGGGTGTGTTGGAGAAGGAGTAGAAGAGAAGTACCAGCCAGCCTCCTCTGGTATGCTGTAGGAAACAGAAGCGCGGACTCGATGTGGCTCATTTCAGTGATGAAGATAAAAACCAGTTGGGCAGACCGCCGGGAGGTCATGGAAAATGGATGGCTGGGAAGCTAGCTCCTGAACAGACAGCCTCCTCAGAAACTACAGTCCATGTGCCTATTAATGTCTGTAATAAGCATTTAAACGCCATTTCTTAAGCAATAAAGAGTGTGTGTGTGTGTGTGTGTGTGTGTGTGTGTGTGTACATACTCTTTGACATTGCTAAACTCAAAGCCATTGAAATGATTAGGACACTTGGTGACCTGGTATTGGGTTTCCGAGACTATAAGATCTTAATTGGAACTGAGGTAGATTCAAACCCCTCACCTTTGGTTAGCAGCCCGACATAGAATAAGCCACAGGTTCCCTTCATATGGCTGGTACTTAATACGTGTCTGTTACATTAGAAACTGGTGTAAATAGCACTAAGAAATTATATATCCAGAGTGTTCTTCAAAAGCTCACAAAGTCTCTGAATTCCTCACATTTGGAAGGCTGAGTTAATGTAAAAGAATGAATAAATCCTGGGAAGTTGGTTCAAATCCAGGACTCTGGTATTTACAGTTTATGAAGGAACTTAAGTGGAGGAGGAAAAAATGCAATTATTAAAATTCATTTTTAAATGCCCTCTTCAAAATGTATTCTTGGACTGTATGCTTTTAAAGTCCAGTACTAACAATTCCTTAGTGTTTGAGTATCACCCTGTGCTGGTACAAATATTTCTCCAACCCCCTCAATCCTTTTTCCCCCACCCACTCCCCCATCATCTCGATGACTTTTTATTTCTGTCGTCGTATCTATAGCAGATGGTATTTCTTGCATTTTTTCCTTTAACAGATGGCAGGTATCTCTGGTATTAGTCATGACAGACTAGATGTAAAGATCCTAGAGTTTCATATGGAAATTTTTAAGTTTGCCTTAATAAAACATTTGGTTTTGAGATGTGTGAAGTGTGTAAAAATAGGAGGACAGCTGCTTATTTCAGCTTTCTGCTGTTTGCTCTCCGTTCAGTGGATGAACTCCAGAAGCGGGTCAACCAGTCTGAGAACTCTGTCCCGCCCCCACCTCCTCCACCACCACCTCTGCCTCCGCCACCTCCCAATCCCATCCGGTAAGTGCCCGGCGTCACACGTTACTCCTCTTCAGAGAACCTGGAGTTTATATCACGAGTCTTCTTTCATTTAGTACTGGCTTTCCTGTATCGTGTCATTGGAGAGGTGGTAAAAAAGTGTGAAAGACGTCATGTGAGGTTTCCCTCGGCGAACTTGTAGAAGGCCGATGTATTGTCCCCAATCCTCGCTTCCTGACTGTCTCTTCAGCCAACATTTCACATTTATGACCACAGTGAAAACATCTGCTTAAGTCGTCTTTTAGGCACTTCGTGGACTTTGAGTGAGAGAGCGCCGCCTTCCTGAGTCCCATGCCTTGATCTTTCCTATTCCACTTCTTTCCCAAGTCTTAGAAGAGAAATAAAGTTAAAAGTAGGAGGGGAAGCCTGTTGGAGGGGTGTCTGGCTGTTAACCTGCATTCATGTTCCATGTCCCCACAGAATCCTGAGCTCTGCCTTTGGCATGCTTGGGGACCTTGAGGCCAGTAGACGACACCCTAGGTACTTAGGAGTTTCCATGGAGAGCAAGAACTCTACTTGATTTCAGGTTGGGCAGGTCTCTTGGCTGTAAGTCCTGACCCACTTGGCTTTGCCTGTGGTTTGTGTGGCAAGGAGATGAGTGAAATACAGAGTGGGAGCCTTCTCCCCACACGGTCCTGCTCTCCCAGAATGACGCCTGGAGCCTGCAGCTGGTCACTGCCGTTTCCGGTCACTGATTCTCACTTAGTGTCGTGGTCTTGGTAGTATTGGGTCCACCTCACCTCATCTGCTGTAAACATTGAGATCGCATGTAGATGTGTGAACCCAGGAGCTGGATGGGTTTGCTTTGTCTTTTCATTGTCTTGGTGGTTTGCAATATTCTTTCCTTATCAGATACACCTGTTTTAAAAATTTCCATTCGTGACTTTGGAATCCCCTTTAACTGTAAGACTGAAAGATTTAGGACTTCTCTGGGTTGCTTTCCTTTTTCTCTCTACAGCTTTAACTTGAAAATTATGATTTGATCCGTTTTATTTAAAACAAAGGTACCAAAGCACAATATTGTACTGATATTGGATTGTATTGATATTATACTTAATTAACTACTGATTTTTTTTTTTTATCTCTAACTTCAACTTTAAACCCTTAATAACACTAAGAGAAGACCTTTGCGGGTTCGGAGGGGAGAAAAATGCAACAATGAATGAATGGAAATCCAAAGTCTGTAAATTTTCATTGAAATTAATAATAAATTTTTTTAAAAAAGAAGGAATGATGTTTCAATTCCTGAGACATGGCATCATGTATGGAGACAGGAATGGACGCCCCCCCCCCACCCAAGGTCAAGGCGACTTGGTGGTGTTGAGTGCCTGACCTTGGCACAACGCAGGAGAGAAATTCCCACCTTCTTTGTTCTGCATTCCTCCCTCCATAGCTACATAAGCCAACCTATGTGTGTCCTGGTGACAGCTTACCGCCGTGTGTCATGATGCTAGCAGCTTCTTAACATTTATTTTTTGACAAACAGCATTTAAGAACTTGCTCAACTTCTCCCTTTCATTAACTCTTGATTGGTTTAATCCTTTCACACAATGTGGCCATTTAGTCATACTTTGCGCCTTGACTGAGCCCTCTGAATAGCGTGTGGAGTATGCTTCTTCCTTACATATTAACTATGGAAATAGACTTTGCCTTTTCCAAAGAGTTTCATTAGTTCTTCTTGCTGCGAAGGGTATGACATAATCTACTTTTAAGCCACAGAATCATTAAGGCAAAGTCATTTTTACACGTGATCGGTCCAAGATTGAATTGAAAGAATTTCAAGTATTTTAAAGTCTTTTACTCCTGGGTCGCCAAGTCCATAGGAGATAGTCTGAATTTGACATTTAAAATGGGAAATTCATCACTTTGATTTTTCTGCCAAGGTCTGAAGTTTTTAACTGATAAGAAAGGTCACTTCTGATTCTGGTGAGGGTGAACCATTAAAAAGAGATTACAGTCTTGCTGTTGGCCTTTAAGTTTTAGTTTCAGAAATCTTGAGGACCTCTAGAATTAAAAATAAAGTATAACCTAAATAGATTTTTCTCTCAAAGAGCACTTTACAGTTAAACTGAAAAATGAATACAGGGCCCAGGCCTATGGGTGTCTAAAGCATGAACTCAAAAAGAGTATTATGAAAGTAATGTTCTTTAAAGGAAATGTCATTGAATATTATAAATGGTCTTTATTTTAAGGTGAATGTAAATGGGATAGGGCATAGTTTTTCAGTAAAAAGAGATTTTGGGGGGTAGAGGGGTGAAAGTAAGGTGCACTTTCTTCTCTAAGACTGTATTTGCACGTGCCTGCCTTTCAGTGTATCTTGAAGCCATTAATCAAGATTTTCCAACTATATTAGGGAGCAGTTTAGTTTGCGTTGATGCTAGTCATGGATAGAAATAAAAGTAGAGGCGAAAAAAAGACTGGGATTTGTGGCTTTATTGCTTTTCCTCCCTTGCTGCTTACTTGATGGAAAACGGAGATGGGGAAGAGGATGAGAGAAGGAGACCTTTTCTACTGGAAGTCCTGAAAGGAGGACAGGTCCTGGACTCATGGGGGGAGGGAGGAACTCTTTTGAGGAACTTTGAAGTGAAAATTGTCCATGGAGCGGTTCCTACTTGGACTGGCCCTTGGTTGAAGCTTTTACCCATTCAATTGAATATGACTGAGAAATGAGGCAATAAAGGTTTGAATTATTATTATTCCTCACCTCAGATGTCTTGTCCTGGTATCTCATTTGTCCTGTAAAGTCCACTCCATCATTCTCTTGATAGTCTAAGCCCTGACGTGGACAGGTGATTCCTTTTTTTTTATTTTATTTTAATGAATGTTTACATAGATTTTGGATTTCCGTTCGTTAATTGTTGCATTTTTCTCTCTGCCCCCCCCCCCCCCAGTTCGCTCTTCTCTTGAAAAGTAAAAGAAAAATTCTTTCATTGGTGCACAGTCCCCCCTCCCCCCTCCTGAATACACTCCACTATTGCAACCTTTATTCAGGACTCTTGTCATAACCATAATACCCAATCATATATCACTTTTAAATGGTTCTCTCCCTCATCTGTTTCAATGCAGTCTATGCAATTTATCCAGTTTTTCTCAGTCTCACCCCAACCCTGATGTCAGTCCCGTTCTACAGTAGTGGTACTATGTAGTATTTGTCCTTTTGTGACAGAGATACTTCATTCAGCATAATGTCCTCCAGAATCACCCATTTTGAATAATATTGCATGAGTTCCTTGTTTTTCAATGCAGCGTAGTATTCCATTGTGTAAATATACCACAGCTTCTCTATCCATTTGTTGATGAGCACTTAGGTAATTCCTTTTTAACGTTGTTGTTGTTGCTGCTGCGTGCCATCAGGTCAGAACGACTCACAGCTGACCTTCCACCGGGTTTTCAGAGGCCGTAAATTGCACAGGAGGAAAATGTCCATCTTTACCCTGCAGAGCAGCTGGTGGATTTGAACCTTTGGAATGCGGCGCAGCTTCTTGCATGAGGCCACCAGAGCCCCCTTTATTAACATTGTTGTTGTTACCACAGAGTTGGAACAGACCCATGTCTGACCCTCTGGCAGGTTTTCAGAGGCAGTTAATCGCACAGGAGGAGATATTCCATCCTTTTCCCACGGAGCACCTGGTGTCCTCGAACTCTGTGCCTTCAGAATGGCAGCACAGCTTCTTGCCACTAGGCCACCACATTACTGATGGGTTTTCTCTGGACACTGTCATCAGTCTCCAACCGATGTTGTCACTCAGAACATGAAAAACTAGCATTTTCATTCACTCAGGTGCTTTACAATGATAAACTTATGTTATTACTTCATGTGTAAAAATATACAAGCGTTCTGAGCGATATAAAGAACCTCCTGCTTGATAATCTTTGTGCACAGTGGTCTGCACTCTCAGAGTTCTCTCCCAGAGGTGTGATCCTTGCTGCATGTTATGTGAAGAGAAGTGGAGACCTCTGATAAGTGAATTGCTGCGTGTTATCAAGTGGGTTCTGATTCATAGTGATCCTGTATGACTGTAGAGTAGTCCCATAGGGTTGCCTCAGCTGCAGTGGTTGTAGGAGAAGGTCACTCGGTCCTTTTCCCCCACAGAGCTGCTAGGTAGGTTTGAACCACTAGCCTTTTTATGTTACCAGCTGAGTTCTTTCTCCTCCCTTCCCTAGAATTCCATCTTGTAACAGGATTTTAACAAGTAGACATTGGATACTCTTGGCATGCAGCTGACCGAAAAGAAAAATATAATTTATATTAGTTCCTTCCTAATACTTACGGAATAAAATGTGTCTGTCTCAATTAAAATTTCTGTCTTTTGTAAAAAGAAATTAATTCCCTTTGGGGCTGTTAATAGCTCAAACAAGATAAAGGAGATGAAATTTAGAGCTCAGAGAGTGATAGTTTCCCAGCTGTAAAGCCCAGGAAGGTCACAGGATAGCAAAGGAGGTGGTTCCTTTTCACTGCACTTTATGGAGATTTGACCAGTGTGTTTGGGACTTTAAAGATAAGACAGAAATTATATTAGTAGGATAGCCAGAAGAAAAAAGAAACTGAAAATTGAAGTAACTTGAGGTGTTAAGTTCTTGAGCAAGTACCTCTTTGCCGGCCTGCCTGCCTCTTTTCCAGAACCAGGCTTTCCCGATCCTCCAAGTGCATGCAATCCATTGCTCACATTCTGCTTTGTCTTTCCCAGGAACGTCCTTTGTCCGATCCAGTTCGAGGATTTGTGCAGTGCCGTTGAAAGGACTCAGTGATTCTTTACCTTTTTGTATGATTGTTTTAAATGAACGCTAACATAAACTCAACGCAAACTCATTGACATTGAGTCAGTTTATCAATTCATAATCATGATACCCCACCAGGTTTCTACCTTCCTAACACTTCCTAAAATATTCAGAGTTTTTAATAAGAAGCCTTCCCTTAGGTTGCCAAGACTCCAAGCCTTTACGGGAGGAAACTACCTCTCCCTTCTGGGGAGAAGCTGGCAGAGTCAAAACACGAACCTTTTGACTTCGCCGCCCAACATGGAAGGCAGTATTCCACCAAGGCTCCCTGTTATGTAGGTAGATGTGGAGTGTTTGTGAATTTGAGATACGGAGTTGAAGTGTATTCTGTACCTCTTTCCCTTATTGGTATCTGTCCACTGGGTCGTGATGGTTCGCATTTGCCTCCCTGCACTACTTGGTTTGACACAGGAAGAGTTAAGACCTGTTCTTCCTTCATGCCACTGCCGTTAACCATGACGTACAGGTTACTGCTGTTCTAGCCATGCATTCAGATGCATCTGGAGAACAGTTGGATCTGCACAGATTACCTAGAATCTGTGTTTTATGTCTTGGATCATGGGGCAGTCAGTGATTCTTTAGTAAGTCTTTCTCTTTCTCCCAAAGGTCCCTCATGTCCATGATCCGGAAACGGTCGCATCCCAGCGGAAGTGGTGCTAAGAAAGAAAAGGCAGCCCAACCAGAGACAGGTAAGCTCCCCTCCACCTGGTTCACCTTCAGCAGTTGGTGCTGTGTCCTCTTCAACACTTTACACGCTCCTAGACTGGGTTCTCTGTGAACCCATTACCTGGAGAGAAGTGTGAACGCCTGTAAAAATGAACCAGATACAATCATTGCCTTTGCGTAGCTTATGTCGAGTAAAGAAGATAAATATGAACACACTATTGTCATGTGAAATAGACTGAAAATCGGGCTTTCATAAAATGACAAGGTGCTATGGGAGGGGTGGGCAGGGAGAAAAATGCGACAATGCATGAATGAAAATTTAAAAAATTTTTTTCAGAATAAAATTATTATTTGGAAAAAAAGTGACAAGGTGCTGTCGTAGGATTTGAGAATGGCTTCTTAGAGTTGGTAGCATGTGAGGCTTTATCAAGCGGGCTTTGTGCCGTGAACTGTGTGCCTTCAGGATTGCAGTGCAGCTTCTTAAACCACTAGACTCCCAGAGTTCTATAAGAGGTATAGAGGTTTCCTTATTGTGAGGGAAACAGAAGATAATCTAATGAAATAGATAATTGTTTAAATACACCTTGTGATGGGTTCTGTGGAAGAGAAATAAGAAGTTGGAAGCTGGTTGGAGGGGTACCACCGATGTGTGAAAACAAGCTTCATCCATTGCTGTCCAATTTGAACCGATCCGTTGGATTGCCAAAGCTCTGCATCAGAAGGAAGGAGATTGCTCATTTTTGTCCTGTGGAGTCCATGGTGGTTCAAACCACAGAGTGGGGGCGAGTCCTGATCTCTAAGTTAGCAGCTTGGATGTCTGAAAGTGAGGGCTAATCTAAAAGTTTAAAAAGTTAGAGGGGGTTGGTTTTGGAGTTTAATTTGTTTAAATAGAGGACAGCACATTCAGAGGCCCAGATTGGCAAAGAAGTTTGCCATGTTGGAGAAACAGAAGGAACACTGATGGGCTGGAATGTGTACTCCCAGAAGAGGAGGTCGAGTACACAGGCAGAGCTGGAGAGCCTCGGAAGCCCGATGCGGGATGTGGGGAATGGGCTGGAGAACAGTGGACGCTGGAAGCCGTGATAGAACCTGAAAAGCCTCACCTGGGCTGCAGGGAGGGAACAGACAGTGATGAGAGGAGTAGATGAGGGGAAACTGTTGCCCTTACATCATGGTTAGTCGAAACTTAGATGAGGAGGGCAGCAGTAGGGATGAAAAGACTTGGATAAATTCAGGAACTATTCAGAGAAGTACAACTGGCAGGATGGTGTGGTTTGTTGAGAGGTGTCTCCTGAGAGGATCGGCTGAGGGGGTGGGCATGTGGGGAGAAGGGCCTTCTTGTTGATCTGAGACTTGAGGTGGCTCCGTGAGGCAGGCTTAGTTCACAGAGCCCAGAGTAGCTTGGCACATAGCCGCAGTGAGAGCTAAGACTTGAATGCAGAGACTGGACCTTGAATGCTGAAGAAGCCAAATTCAACTCCACTGTGTTTACTCAAGACCTAGAAGGTTCAGGGCATGGTGGGTTTGCCTGGTTCAAGTCCAGGCTGTTAAAAGCCGCTTCTTGGCCCCGTCTTCCTGCCTGCAGGTCTCTGGGTTCAGGCCAGCCACTTCCACATTATTGGGAACATGGCACTCTAAGATCGGAGGTCTAATACTGTCCTGTCCTTGTGACGTTTTGATGCTCCTCACTGTATCCAGGTAGTCCAGGCTCTCTGGTCTGATTATGGAAGGCTCAGCTTCCTGTCTCCTTACATCTTACTTACACTTCCCTGTCTCCTTACTATGACGTCCAGCATCGTAGTTGGCCATCACCTCTAAGACTTCTGTACTCCTGCTACTGTTCTCATTCATTCCAGAACTGCCCTCTTGTCCTCTCCTCAGGCAAGGACCTGGACCAACGCCACGTCCCTTGTGCAGGTGGAAGGCACCCATGAATCCAGCTCTTCTTCCTATGTTGTTGTTGTTAGGTGCTGGCAAGTCACCCCAGACTCAGAGCCACCCCGTGAAAAGCCGGTGGAAACCATGCCTTGTCTTATGTAATCGTCACCATCTCCTTGAGGCTACTGACTAGCATTTACTAGGAATCTAAAATGAATTAGGTTGTAGCTTTTAAAAAACCCTTTGCAGGGAGCTCCGGTGGCCTAGTGGAAGGAGCTGCACTGCAATCCCAGAGGCGTGTGGTTCGAATCCCCTAGATGCTCTGCCGGGGAAGGAGGGACAATCTCCTCCTGTACCAGTCAGATCCGATTTGATGGTACACACACACATAAATAAGGAAAAAAATTAAAAAAAACACAACAAACAACCCTTTGCAAATATGGCTGTTCCTCTCTTGCTCCATGTCTGCCTTTGGTCCGATAAAACGGCTCTGTTCCCTTTCTCACGCTTGAGAACGCCCAGCCGTATTGTACCAGAGTCCTGATACCTCTCCTCTCCTTTTTTGTGTGAAATATTTTTATTCCTTCAATAAAACTTTTCCTTCTTAAGTCAACAACCTAAGCGAGCTCATTGCTGTGGGTTGCTGTAGCATCTCGCTCCTCCCTGGGCTCCTGCGTGGGCCTGATGTCTCGTTCCTGTTCCCCGTCAAGGTGCCAGTTCTCTGTTTCTTCCCGTGAGTGGCTTGTGAGCTCTTCTTACCCACTGTTACTTCTGTAGCCTCCCTCAGCTTTCAGATAGAGTGGTCGAAGCTTGAACTTGGTGTGTTTTTTCTTAGCTAGGAACCTTGCGGCACCATAGCAACGAGAGCTGTTGGATAGCACCTAGTTTCTGTGCCTGCCTTCTGCAGCCGTTCTGTTATCCATCCTTTCAAGAGCAGTGGGGCCGAGAGGCGAATTCTGCTTTGCAGAAGGTGTTGTGGGCTCAGAAGTGGTCTTGCCTTGGCTGATTTTCAGGGAAGTCACAGTCCCAGTTTATGTTCAGCTCTCCTGACACTGTAATTTAAATGTTGTTTGTTCCAATTTTGTTTGCAAACAATCAGGAGGACATTAAGAATGAAATGCTTTTCCCCTGACGTAGATTCCATTATCAGTTAGTTTGTCAACCTCAACAGCGCCCTTAAATTTTTTTTTAAAAAAAAGTGTTGTTGAACTACTCAACCCTGGTTTTAGGAGTCATAGAATTTTCTTTACAAAAATGGTATTTCATTTACAATTCATGAAATGTTGTAATAATTTCTCCAATAGCCTATGTTTATTGGACTGTTACGTTCAGACTAAATAGAGATAATATCACAGAAGTAGAATTTGCTATTACACGAATTTCAGATGGGTTCAAATCAAACTCTCTTCACTGATAGGTACTGGAGTAGCATTGCTATCTGGCCAGGGAGTTATTTCAAGTTGTCCATAGTGTACACTGAAAAATAACTGTTGAATGAACGAATCAACCTTGATGAGCAAACGCAGAGCATCGTGGGTCACCTGTGACTTTATCACATCAGGACCAGTCTTCTTACCACAGTGTTTTCACGTCTCTGCCAACATCTGGAGGCTCTTAATGTTTGGTTGGTGCATTTTTCAGAGCATATGCAACTTAGTGCTCAGTTATGGGTCTTAAAAACACACTCGGGGGAGATCTGTGGGACACTTTTGACATAGCTCTAAGGTCTCAACAAAAGAGATCATGTCAAATGTTGAAGTCATAATTCTAATCTCAACCCCACCGCGTTTCTTGGGCCAGTTCTCGCATGTGGAGGCAGCCTGGCTGTTTAGCCTCCTTTTTTTTTTTTTTTAACGGTTACGGGGTTTATCAGGGAAGTTAACAGGTTACAAAATAGATTGGCAACAGGCTGTGATTTTTCCCTCAAGACAGCTTCTGAAGCTTGCTCCGTTCGGTCTTAGTCCTGTCAATGAAGGCGTCTCCGCACTGGTCCTCCAGGAGGTTGGTAGAAGGCTCTGGCTCTGTGGGGCAGCGGTCCCCGCTCAGCTCTGTCTCATGTCAGGTGTTTGGCTCTCCACGGCAGTTACTGATGCTGTGTTTTAGGCCCTGGTCTCAGTGCCACAGAAGTCTCTGACTCCAAAGGATGCATGCTGCATTTTCTACTTCTTTCTTGCTGGTCGTGAGAGTCTCTTCATTTCTGCTACTACATCTTGTTAGCGTTTATCCTCCTTTTAAATCATTGCTGGTTGATCTTTTGTGACTTCTGTAACTCCATATCCTCCTCTCTAGACTGGAGGTACAGAGTTGTACCTATTTCATAGGAATGTGAGAATTACTGATTCTTGCAACCTGAAAAGTGTGTAGAGCAGTAGCCAGCAGGTAGGAAATAATCAGAATGCGAAATTGAAAAACAAAGAGGACAGGAAGGGGACCTGTCACCCTCCAGAGGGTGGAAAGAACCCACTTCCTACAGGTTCTTGTATTTACTACGTTGTTGTGTATAATTAATGGGAACCAACTCATAGCTAATTCTCAAGTAGGTTTTCAGAGGCAGTAAATGGCACAAGAGAAAATTGCCTATCTGTCTACCTCAGAGCAGCTGGTGGATTTGAACCACACACCTTTGAGTTGGCAGCACAATTCCTTACCACTACACTCCTAGAGCTCTATGTGTTTACTGTAGGGAATGAAATTTTCTTGACTCTTTAGTCTTCGGTCAGCTTTACACTTACATGGCCATTGTGTGGTCTTAGTGATCTCAAACATTATGGTAGAAAAATGTGATGTATTTTTCAGTGCCATTTTAAGAATATTAGTGAAAGAAACTAAATAACTGTGGCATTTTAAAAAAAATAGGTTTAGGTCCTTGTAGCTCATAGCAAAGTTTTTCTGAGCAAAAAGGCGACGGTGTTGTCTAAGGGTCTTTTTCTTTTCTTAATTTTTAGGCACGAACTTGTTTTTCAAGTGGGTCTTAAAATTTAAGCCTCAATTAATTCCATGTAGCTTTCTGATCCAAGGCTGACCTTGAAGCACTAAGTCAGAGAACATTTGATTTTATTTTCAATAACATTCGACCTGTTGTCTTCGTGTGCCCCTTTTCTTTAATCTCTAGCATCCTGCATATTTCTATTGTCCCCCTGATTACATGCTTTTGTGAGACAATTACTAAGTGCGTGATTGCAAAAAGAATTACAAAACATACCATGAGCTCTCAGTAGGCGATGCGTGCTGATTTATTAGAACCGCTTAATAGTTTGGAAGTTCATATAGATTGCTTTTTGCTAGTTCAAAAACAGGGTCGGGGAGAGAGGAGGTTTGTGCAGTTAATGCTGCCCTTGAATTGTGCCCGAGTAGGGAATCTGATAAGAGTGATTTCTTTTCCTTAAAACCAATTAAGCTTTTACATTTGAAAAAGGCTGAGAAATTAAAGCCTGGTTTATAATCTGTACACAATACAGATAGTGGCACTTCTCTGCATTATCACGGTGATTCTGGCAAGCAGATATAAAAAACTACTTTAAATTCCTGCTCTGTTAGATGCTGAAGCAGATTTGAATGGTGTTGACCATAATTCTCCATCTGTCTGCCTTAATTAGTTTTTGTATGGTGCATTTAATTGGGTTTCTGTCATTCCTTACAGAGTGCTAATCTGTCTGTAGGCGGTGTCCTCTTCCCACACAGCTCTTCTCGGGCTCCCACAAAATGGCAGCCTTTCTGAAAAGCAAATGTTTTGGGGGGAGATATTTTTTAAATTCCCATAAATAAATTGCATACCCATACCAGGTGCTGGAATGGCAGATCCGGATTCTGTTGCCCCGATCAGAGATGCTGTTATTAGGTACCATCGACTCAGTCCTGATTCACAGCAGCCCAGTGTCCAGCAGGGTGTGGCGGTGCCCAGGCTGTGTTACCCTGACGGTCATCCTTCTGCTTGAACTCGCTGGAGCCACTGTGTCAGTCCATCTTGTTAGTGGCCTTTCTCTATTTCATGGACCCCCTACTTATCCGAGCCTGATGTACTTCTCCAGGGACTGGTCCCTCCTGACAACAGAGCTGAAATATGAAAGGTGAAGGATCATTCCAGCTTTATTTCTTCCAGGACAGGCGTGTTTGTTCTTCAGAAATCTTGGGCATGATATTCAGTGTTCTTCTCTGCCGTATAATTCCAAAGGCATCATTCTTCTTTGCTTTTCTTCTCTTATCCACCTTTTGCGTGCGTACGAGGAGACTGAAAATGCCATGACCTAGGTCTGATGTACCTTAGTTCTCAGAGTGATTATGAATCAAGTTTAGCAGAAGCGCTTTATAGTACAGACTAGGTAGTGAGATTTAAGGGAATGAATGAATGAAAGGACGTGTGATGTTTCTTCCCAGAGTAATTTCCTTATATGCCCCCTTGGTTGAGATTTGTGACCCGTCAGAAGCTGCCCACAGATGTACTGCTTGTGGGCACATGGTTGATAATTCCAGTTTTTGTCTTTCATTTCCTAATAGAAAATTTCTCATTTGGTGACCATTGCTGGACAAAAGAGACTTTTTTATTAAAATTCCTGACTCTGAAAAATACTGTTTGAATGTTAAGAAATTGTGATGCATTCAATTTCAGTTGCTTGTGAAGAAGCAGGATTTGAAGTCAGATGGTACCAGGCAGTCTAGGTGATGGTGTAGTGAGGGCAGCAGTGATCACTGTGGCATCACAGAGCTGAACATGAAGGAACTTTCTGGATTTCTAGTTGGTTTTCTAGGAACTTGTAGAAGAGGACAGAGCTTTAGTGGTGTCGTTTACAGGGAGTTGTACTGCTGAGCCACAGGCAGATTCTCTCTCATGGTTTGAGTCCTCCAGAGGCTACGAGGGAACCAGAGGGACAGTCCTCTCTGGTGTGATTTATAGCCTCAGAAAACCCTCTGGAGTGTCAGCTGTGAGTCGGTTCCAACTTGATGGCCCTGAGGTGGATAATCCTGATTGAAAGAAATTACTTCCAAGGTCAAGTTTGGTCATGAGCAGAAAAAGCAGCTAACGTGTTAAGCCTCCTTAACACGGGCTGAAGTTATTGATAATTAACTTGAGGATGTAATGGTAATTTATCTGGAAGCTAGTCTTTCAGAGCTTAGTCAGTTCTGCACAAGTAGTAAAAATATTAATAGCCATCTAGTGGATCTTATCTGAAAGCGGAGAGTACCAGATGAATGTCTTTCTGTGTTTCATTGATTGTGCAAAGGCATTTGACTGTGGGGATCACAGTAACTGTGGCCAACTCTGAGAAGAACGGGAATCCCAGAACACTTGATTGTGCCTATGCAAAACCTATACTTGGATGAGGAGGCAGTCATCAGAACAGAGCAAAGAAACACTGCAGGGTTGAAAATCAGGAAAGGTATATGCCAGGGATGCGTTCTTTCTCCATATCTTTCTCTCTCTCTGTTTTTTTTTTAGATTTCATTTTAATAATTTTAATGAAATTTACAGAGATTTTGGATTTCCACTCATTCATTGTTGCACTTTTCTCCCTGCCCAGCCCTCCCCCTGCCCCCGCCGCCCCAGTTCACTCCTCTTTTTGAAAAGTAAAAGAAAAATTCTTTCTTTGCTATGCAATCCCACCGCCCCAAGTACACTCCACTATGCAACCTTAATTGTGGACTCTTGCAAACAGATCATTCAGGAGGCTGGGCTCTGTGAGGAGGAAGACTCATAAACAACCTGCATTATGCAGATGACACAGCTTTACTTGCTGAAACTGAGGAGGACCTGAAGCATTTGTTCAAGGACTGGAGCCTTCAATATAGATTAAAGCTCAGCATCAAGAAATAAAAACCAGAGATTCTCACCAGTGGGCCAATTGGCAGCATCATAATAAGACAGTAAAGAGATTGAAACTGTTAAGAGCTTCAGTTTGTTTGGCTCCACATTAGCATTCTTGGTATCAGCAGCCAGGAAGCCAAAAGACAAATTGCATCGGGAAAGTCTACTGTCAAGGACTTCTCTAAAGTACTGACAAGCAACACTGTCATTCTAGAGACTAAGGTGCACCTGGTCCAGGCCATGGTCTTCACAGTTATTTGTTGTGCATCAGAGAGCTGGACAATGACTAAGGATGACAGAAGAAGAATTGATGTCTTTGATTTGTTGCAGTGCTAGAGAAGTGTATTGAATATACCATGGACTGCTAAGAGAACAAACAGGTTAGTCCTGGAGAGGGTGAAACCAGGATGCTCCTTGGAAGCAAGGATTCTGAAGCTCCAGCTGACATACTTTGGGCATGCTGAAAGGAGGGACCAATCCTTGGAGAGAGACATCATGCTTGGAAGGGTGGAGGGAAAGTGCAAGAGAGAAAAAAATCCTCGATGAGATGGATTGATTCAGTGACTGGGGTAATGGGGGTAGGTGTGTCAGAGATGATGAAATTGGCTCAGCATAGAGCAGAGTTCAGAGCTGCTGTATATAGGGTTGCTGTGAGTTGGAGTTGACTCAGCGACACATAGCAACAACAAAACCAAAACTTTGGAAAAAGTTAATTACTTGTCATGTGCCCACTGTATCTATGGCAGGCAACGTGGAGTCCAGATACTGATTGGAAGGCCCTTAGGAAATAATTAAGCTTAAATATATTGAGTGAGATGAATTAGATGGCGGTGACACGGATGGTCAAAAGACTGGCAGTTTGAGTCTGCCCAGCAGCATTGTGAAAGGAAGGCTCTGGAAATGCTTCCATACAGATTACAGCCAAGAAGGCCCTACGAAGGGTTCTCCTCTAACACACAGGGTTGTCATAAGTTGGAATTTATTCAAGGGCAACAGGGCAGTTCAGTTAAACACAAGATGTAGATCCCTTCCCATGAGGATAAATGTTTGGAAATGGTTCTATTTTTATTTTATTGTATTGTATTATTGTGTGTGTGTGTGAGTGTGTGTGTGTGTGTGTGTGTGTGTGTGTGTGTGTGTGTGTGTACCGTCAAATTGGATCTGACTGGTACAGGAGGCGATTGCCCCTCCTTCTGGGATTGGTTCTGTGCCCTTTGATCAAGCACATCTTCAGAGGAGAGAGAGGCTTCAGTATTTATTCTGAGCACCTGGTGTATGTTCCACTCAGTTGCGTTCACTTAATTCAAACACATCTCGACAGCAGTGTTGCATTTGAAGCCATATAATGCAGTGTAGACAATAGACCATTAAACATTTATCTTTTTTTTTCAAATTTTCTTAATTGCAATCATTTGTAGATGTGTGTTTTCCTTTGGAATTGACAATTTATAAAGACTTGTAAGAGGTTTGCTTAAATGTTTCCTTTCCATGTGATATCTAAACAAAAGATGGCAATTGAAAAATAGATTTTACCCAATTGCAGCACGTCTTCTGACTATGGATTTCTTCCTGCGAGGAAGAGTTCTCTTTGATCTTTTTATCCAAGTGGACTTTTTGATGGCTGTTCCTTCTGTAGCTAAAGCTTTGACATTAGGATTTACAGTAAGTTATAAATGTACCTTGAAGGCAAAGTTGAGTGGTCATTTGGGATTTGCAGGGTTAAATTTTTGCTGTTGTTATATAGTGGCAGAGTTGAATTTTAAAGACCTGTATACATGTTGACAAATAGAACAAGATCCATTTTCATTGTTTAGGATAGTTGATTTCCGTACTGTGAATAGGAACTTAATTTTTATACCTTTTATTTTACATAACCATACTCACTGCCATCTAATGAGAACTTATGCTAACCTTCCAGTGGTTTTTCAGAGACTGAAAGATTGCTACTATTTCTCCCATGGAACAGCTGGTGGATTGGAACTGGTCATCTTTGGGTTGGCATCACAGCTCCAAAATAAGTAGTAACTGTGCCTGAAGAATGACTGTGATTAATTACACGGTGCAGTCTGAGTCACCAAATCCACGATGTAGTTGGTTTTTCTGTTGTGCAAGGTGATTTATGTGCATGTTCTTTGAACAGCTGAAGAAGTCACCGATCTGAAGAGGCAAGCGGTTGAAGAGATGATGGATAGAATTAAAAAGGGCGTTCACCTTCGACCTGTGAATCAGACAGCCAGACCCAAGGAGAAGGTATGGAGTGGTCACATGCCCCTTCCCAGCCCCTCTTTGTTTTCCCTCCATGCTGTTTTGGTTTTTGCTTTAAGAGTAAAAATCTGAAATCTAATTAAAGCTACATCAGGACGGTTGTCGAGAGTTACTAATTCCAGGTCATTTCAAGGAGACCTTTGAGTGTAGATGTACCTCATCAGTGGCCTTTTAGACTGGACAGCAGTAAGCACTGTTGGGCCTCCAGAAGTCTAGGTCAGTCCTTTTTTTCTCCTGCTGGGTTTGTGCATTTAAATAGACCAAATAATAGAGAGTGGGTTTACATATATATATATGTGTGTGTTTTTAAAGTGCCTTCTTTCCTCATTCTAATTAGTCATTGACCTACTAGTTCTCCTCCTTCATCTGGTTCTCCTCCTCTTCTTTCTCTGTTTTAAGTCCACCTTTCTCCCACTCAAGACTGTCTGTCCCTTGAGTGACCCTAATGTCACACCTGTTCAGTGCCAGTTCCTCTGGGATTTTAAAGCTGCCACTTTGTCACAAGCAGGCAAGGTAGGCATGGTCACAACGTCAGCCTGTGTTGAGAGGGAAGGAATCCTTCTCAGCTTCAAGAGTCAAGCTTTCTTTCATGAGAAGGATGCTCTGGTGAAGTATGCAGTGTGGTTCTGGTAGCCTCGGTCTGAGAGCAGGTTTGGTTTTTTTTTATGGAGAATGTGATTCTTTTAAGGAGGTTAAGTTGAAGCATGTGGGAGGCAAAGAATATCACTCAGTGCAAATCCAAGTGTTAGCCAAGCATTCCCAAGGCACAGTTTCCAGGCTCCATTGTCAGTTCACCCAGCAGCTTTTCCTTTCATCATCAAAGGCAAGAGCAGCAGAATGCTTTAACTGTGGTCTTTACCTTAGGGCTCCTAAGTGAAGGGCAGTGCGCAAGACAGGAGGGGAAGCTGAGGGAGTGGGCCTGTCTGTCACAGCTCTGTCCGAGCTGGTGTCTCGTGGGTAGAGATGGGCACCGCTGGCATCTGGGTTCTGGCACCATCACCCCCACCCTGCCCTAGGCCTTTTCTCTACAAAATGGGTGCAGTAGCCCTGACTCACAGGATTATTGCTAGAAGCAAATAGAAAAGGAAAAAAAGACAAACACTAAAATACAGTGTCTAACTGGAACTTTTGAAGGGAGTACCTTTCTATGACTTTCACGTCACAGCCGTTATGGAAACAATAAGCAAACCTGAACTGTCACTGGAGAAAAATGCTGTATCATAAAGAAATTTGAAAATTGTTCAGGAAGAAGAAATAATGTTGACAAATTCTTACATCCTAAGTGGTCGATGTTCCCTCCCCACCTTTGTCTCCATAACATCACTCTGTCCTTTCTCTTTCTCCCCCATGACCCTCCCTGCAGTTCCCCGTTCTTTAAGGTCAGTTCAGAATCTGCAGAGCAAGTGAACAAGGATGAGTGGACACCTGGGTTTCTCGCTGGTAATCCTTCAACTGTGGAGCTGTGACAATGAATGACCCGGCCCCATGACATTTAAAACAAATGGTCCTTGCATGCGCGTGTCCACACTTCTACCCCGTGACCCTCAGCGCTTTCCTGACATGGCACAAGTTAGAGGAGTGTGTGGCCCAGGCTTCGAAGGGCTGGTGCGGTCCCCACGGCAGCTTGAGTGGCATGGCGGCCCTCGTTCCGAAGTCACAGCTTGTCACCTGACTGCAGAAGTCAAGCCTGCCTTGAACGTACTAATTGAACTGCACTCCCCCACCACTGCCCCGAAGTCCTTGATGCTGCGGGTGGTGCTGGCTTGGTTCACATTAGTGCCCTGGAGCTTGTGACTGGCGCTGAGGGCATGAATGTTTCTCACACAGGCTGTGCTATGGAATTGGGAGGCTTAGTCTAACTTGGACATGAGCGGCAAACCTCTCTCCCCTGCTTCTCTCTGTTTTGTTTTGTTTTTATTTGAAACGGCATAGTGTTCTTTATCTGTTGAGAGGCAAGGGCTGGGATTGTTATGCTTCACCTCACACTTCTTAATGGGAGGGAAATAACTTTCTATTTCAGGAATAGGAAGCTTGGGAGGGTCCCTTTATTATTAGGTCTTCCGAGATTTCTCTTAACTTTTCTTTTCTTTTAAGAACTTTAAAAATTTTTTTTAAAAAAAATCTTTTTATTAATTTTAATGAAAGTTTACAGAGACCTAGGGTTTCCAGTCATTCATTGTTGCACGTTTCTCCCTGGTCCCCTCGCCCCAATTAGCTCTTCTCCTTGAAAAGTAAAAGAAAAACACGTTCAGTGTTATGCAATTCCTCCCCCAAGTTCACCCAACTATGTAGCCTTCACTCTGGACTTCTGTAATGACAAGAATATCCATTCATATATCCCTTTTAAACAGTTATCTCCCTCATCTGTTTCAATGCAATATACATCATTCCTCCCCTCCCTTTCTGTCTTGCCTTAAAACTGATGTCAGTTCTGTTTTACAACAGTCGCCTTATGCAATATTTGTCCCTTTTTGACTGAGATATTTCGTTCAGCATAGTGTCCTCGAGGGTCATCCATTTTGTATAATAGTTCATGAGTTCCTTGTTTTCAATGCTGCACAGTTTTCCATTGTGTGAATATATCAGAGCTGCTCTATCCATACATTTGTTGATGGACACTTGGGTTGTTTCCAGTTCTTCGTTATTACCAACAATAAACATGAGTGTGCATATGTCTGCTTGGGTAGCAGTTATGGTTTCTTTAGGGTACATTCCCAGTAGTGAAATTACTGGGTCAAATGGTATTTCTATTTACAAATTCTTGAGAAAGTGCCATACAACTTTCCATAGTGGTTGCACAGTTTTACATTCCCATTAGCAGTGAATAAGGGTTCCAATTTTTCCATAAACTAACCAGCATTTGATGTTTGCTGTTCTGTTAAATTTTGCTATCCTTATTGGGGTGAGAGGATATCTCATAGTTGTAAAGAAAAGCTTGGAAGATCTCTAGAAGTTCTAATCCACAACATAAACAGTCTTCTAAGCATCCTGGAAAATCTACAACCAGGAGAGGATAAAATAGATGAATGACCTTCCAAGAATTAAATCCCAATGCACATCCAATAACTTTTCCAACAGGGTAAAAAGTGAACCCACAGATTGGGAAAAAATGTTTAAATAACATGTCAGACGAAGGACTTATATCTAGAATTTATAAAACCACAACAAGGTATAAGTAAATAACCCAATTGAAAAAATGGACACAGGACATGAACAGACTCTTCACTCTAGAAAACATTCAGATGGCAAACAAATACACGAAGAAATGTTCAAAATCCATGTAATTTTTTTTTACAGCTTCTAGTTTTCCTATTTGTTGTTGTTGTGTGCCATTGAATCGAAATTAACCCATAGCCAACCCTCCATGGGTTTTCAGAGCCAGTTAATGGCAGAGGAGAAAATTGCTCATTCTTTTCCTGTGGAGCAACTGGGGTTTCAAACTGGTGCCTTTGGAATTGTAGTGCAGTTTTTTGACATTAGGCCACCAGAGCTAATAAATCCACCTTGATTGCATGTTTGGTCAGTTTTGAGCTCTAAAATTTGACAAAAATCCTCAACCTCCTCCTCTTTGGCTTTAGGTGTTGATATGTAAATTTGAATAATAGTCATATTATGCATATAGATATTATCCTACTACTCACAGCATACTTTATA